GCTCAGGCTACTATTTATTGCTCGAAGAGCCACATGGCTGAGTCATGGTCACGATTAATTTCTAAGAAGTACCAAAGATGGCCTTCTGTGGTTCCTACCGCATCCCCTCTTGCCAGTGGTAAACCAAAGATCACTTCTTTCTCCATATCTCAATAACCTATGCACTAATTTCGAGCAAATAGTCTTTGGAGATGATTATGACCTGATTAAACAACTACTTCTGTGTACTTTGTGTGGTGCTGGGTCAAATCAACTAAGAACATAGAGCGGGAAAACAAAATTGGTTGGGTTGTAAGTTCCCTGGATATAACTAAAATGCACAGTTGTACGAAATACTTTTGCCATAGCTGATAACCTTTTCACCACGAGACACTGCATTCAACCGACATTTCCCTTGGTAAACTTTCCATAGTAAATACCCATAGACTCTTCAAAAAGGGTCACCGGAAGCGCCTGTAACATAACATGTAACATAACAAAAGTGATTTGGTGCCCTAAGTAAAAGGGAAAATGTTGATGCTTTGTTTCGTTACGTTCTCGTTCCCGCCACCGATGTGGTGGTGACGTAGTGTATTTTTCTGCAAACCACTTTATCATCAACGGGGTAAGTTTCGAAAGAAACTGTGTGGCTGCGTCGGTGGGAGAGTATAACTGGGTAATTCAGTATTATCAACTGTGTCGATAACGTAAGTTGGCCTTTGTAAAGAATTTAAAAGCCGACGTTTCGAGCGTTAGCCCTTCGTCAGAGCGATTGGAAGGGCTAACGAGGAGTTGACGCTCGAGACGTTTGCTTTTAAATTCTTGCGGTGGCCAATTTACATTATCAACTCAGTTGATAATATTAAATTACTCTTTTTTATCACATCGCTTCTAGCCACCCAGAATGTAACTTGGTACCATTGACCTGTCAGTGAAACAAGACGAAATCCCAGAGCGTCTCATCCAGGGGTAGCAGTAATAATCCCAGTCGTAAACTGTGATTAGCTGCCCTTTTTTTCTTCATAATTGATAGTCCTTTACTAAAATTTTTACTCTTATGTACCAGCGTGACTGTGAAAAAAGGATCACGATCAGCCTCTGCCTCTATAACGCTGACCGTGGTGGAAGGAAACCCGCCCGCTGTGTGGGTGGATTTAGCGCAGATGAAGGTCAAAGCAAGTGAAAGAGTAAAATTGGATGGATACTATAACTCAAGCGCCAAGCCTGATAAAGTAGAATGGAGTTGCCCTCCGGCACAAGGTGCGTTCAGAATAAACGATAAATTGTTTTGCCATAAAACATCCAGACTAAGGATTCCACTGCATTCAGAAGCAAAGTAAGAAACTCTCACCTGTTTGTCTTTTAGGTTTTTCCACTGTTGACTTGACCAAATACACACTCGATGAAGAATACTACAGTGAAGGTATATCATTTGCAATGATGGTTATCCCCCAGTATGTTCTGAAACCGGGCAGTAAATATCGATGTAAGTTGACAGTGAGAGAAGGAAGTAACGAGGGTGCAGCATTCGTGGTGGTGGAGGTGAGAACTGGGCCTAGTTCCGGTACGTTCGAAGTTTCTCCTACTTCGGTACAAGCACTGGATCTCGTAACTATGACAGGTGAGAAACAAAAAGCGCAATTATTCTGTATTATCCCTTTTAATTATTGTCTTCCCAAATTTTCGTATGGGAGCAGTCAAAAAGAAGTCAGCATATTTGACTGACCTTGGGATGCTGACTTATCAAAAGCTTAGGACAGACCGAGAACTCTCAAGAGGGCTCTATAACTGCTGGCACCTTACTTTACCAATGCATCGCAACTTCCTCGTTACACTTGGAGAATATTACTTAGAACTTTGTGCCAATACCGTCCAGGAAAACCTGACTAACAGGTTCCCAAGAACAAAACATCTATAAGTTGAACCAAAAACAACGCGGAACTTGGTGATGACGTCCACTCGGGTGGTCGAAACATCAATTACTGCCTACGAAACATATTTTTTCAGGAAAACCACACCCACACCCAGACGATCAGACCTCGCGACTTTCTTACTATTAACTAAGTTCTGGTTCTCAAATTTATAGCAAAGCAATGGACAACTGATTCAGACGCTGGCCCACTTCGATATTCATTTGGTGAACTAATTAGTGCAGACATCTGCGAGACATATGGGCCTCCATCTTCCACACCAGAACAGGAAGACATCGTTCCGCCAGGATCTGGTCCAAATAATGTCCTCACCTTATGCTGTGTGATTGAAGATAAGTTCGGATCGTATGCTATTAAAACGTTCAATATCACTTCTAGCCCGCCGGATCCGGCAGATCTAGACCCCGCTGCTTTGGATAACTTGTTCGAAAATGCCATTGACGATAAGTTACTGAGTGGAGACACAGATAAAGCTATGGGAGCATTGATCAGTATAACAGGCACTGTTTTCGACGACTCCAGTAACACCTCAGGTGAGCGAATGATCGTGGTCATAAGTGATAGTGTACCATCCAAGCGATGATGTACTAACCAATTATCTGAACTACTACATTAACTTGAGTAATGTTTCTCTTCTTTTTATTCCAGATGAGCTGAAGCGCAATATCTCTCAAAAAGCACAAGCAGCTCTTCTGCAAATCCTAGATGCTACTGAAGTTGACCAAGATAATGCAGCTCCTATGTTGACCGCTTTAGTCCAAACAGACCCAAAAGCTGCCGGTAACAGGTAAACACTGAAGCATTCCGACGATTCCTAAAGTTGAAAATGTTCGTTAATGAAGTAATGTGTAGTTTAAATTAAGGCATTTTGGGGGTTCTTGTTGTTACATTCGAATTTTCGCTGTTTTAAGTGCTTTATTTGCTTGAAGCTTTAGACTTTGTATAAGCGCAAGATTGGAGGTTATCTCTTTATTATCCGTTAGAGCTTCGGACAGATTTAATGAATGTAACCGAATAAGTTACAATTAATATACCCAACGTTTCGACACTCCTGTCTAGTGCCTTCATCAGGGTGATCTAAACGTTGCAACAAGAGGTCTTTTTATACTATCACTAATTAGATCACCCCTGATGAAGGCATTAGAGGAGTGTTGAAACGTTGGGTCTATGAACTGTAACTTCTTCGGTCACATTCATTAAATCTGTAAACCAGGGTAGCATCAAACCAAGTCTGATTGTCCACCTGGTTGCCGTGTGAACTTTGATATAAGATAGAAATAGTTCATAACTATTTGTCAACAAGAGCGACATATACCGAGCTTGGTTTAGGTATCACGGTAACTATTCATGTCAACCTAACTGCAAACATATTTAATAGTGACCACGAAAAGGTCTCTAAACACTTCTTTTTATTACCAATGTTTTATGATTTTCAATTTATCGGTTAGGAATGCTTATGCCCTTCGTCCAAAGTTCAGGTTCTCTAAAACTTTGCTCTCTCTCTCGTCAGTTACTACTATTAGCAATTACCTTGACCGCCATCAACCCTTAAGGGTGGACAATAAAAATGCTAATCTAATCTCTCCTTTCCTTTTTATGTATTTAGCTCCGGCGTGGCTTATGCAGCAGTGAAGATTTTGGATGGGTATGGCGAAAAACCCATTCCCATTAAAAAGGCAGACGAATTTCTCGATTTTATCAGCGACCTTGCTGGCGACTTTGTAGAAAACGACACCAGCTTACAAGAGGTAGGTCAGGACGCAGGTCCAACATTGCTTTCTGATACTCTCAAACATTCAGGGGAAAAAGGGATAATTGTCGGGCAAATTCGGAACAATCGAACCCTATTGAAGGCACATCTACAAGAAGCTAGTCAGAGCCTGTTTAGTTGTAAGAGTGGTGTAAATGGCCATTGATCGAAAGGAAAAAATTAACCAGAGCGCGAAGTGGGATCGATAAATCAACTTGTACGCCCCGTGCACAAGTTCACCGTCCGTGCAGTAATTTCACTTTTCACACTCCTTCCACAAGCCACACAGTTCAACTGACGGAAACTTTCTCTTGATGGAAGTTAGGTTCGGCTGCAAGTACGGGATTTAAGACAAGTTTAGTACTTAGTGGCGCTCGAACCTCCTTGAATAATATACAGTGTTCATCTGATATGAGGTTTTCCTAATACGGCGATCTATGGGATTTCTTAAGATCCCCATCTGTTCTCATTGAATTTGAGAACAACGTTTCATGCGAGGGGTTGTTGTTAGATACATGTAGTACTCTCCTCGAATTTGGCGATCGTTTTCTACACAATCCTAGTTTCTTGCATCGATGCACTACCCCGTTTTGCTTATTGAAAGATATGCGTTTTGAGCTTTCATTTCTTTTACTTACAGAACGTGGAAGCAGCGTTTGATTCTCTTGCGAATAATTTCGCGAATAATCTTTTCCTTAACGACGAGAAGGAAATATTCAATGAAAATCTGGGGTCAGTTAAGGTTAAATTAACAGACTTGAAGAGTGTAATGAAGGCAAACAACAGACCAGGTGCCCCCAGTTTTAATCCTGGCCCGTCACTGGTGAACCTCTTCAGTGGTCCAAGAAAGTGCCAGGGCGGGAAGACATGCCAGGGAGTAGTTGTGCAAGTGGTACAGTACAAGAAGGATTTGATCGCAGTGGATAAAGATAAGCAGGATGACCAAGTTGATGTTGATCATACCCAGGTGAAGCTATCCACTATCCAGTTCAGGGTCACTGGATCACCTAGCCTTAAACACATAGCTGAAATTCGCTGCTTGACGCGGCTTTTTTGCCATCGTAACTCAAGAGAAGTTAAACTGAAATCAAATGTAACCTTGTCCCTTGTGTTACCTACACTTTCGATCATTAACGAGTAATTCCTTGGTGCTTGGATTGGTTCATTATGACAACTTTGATGCGCTCCAACGAGGACTCCACCATCATATAAAGCAGAACTGTTTTTCATTCAGTTCACCCGTTTTAACCTCATGCTTACTTTGTGTCTTACAGGTTCTTGGCATTGACTTAAAAGACCCAGTTTCGAAAAACCCACTTCCAGTTACAAACCTTCCACAACCTCTTACCCTGACATTCACTGTGTCAGCCCTGCCGGTCGGTAAACAACGTGGCTGTAACTACTTTAAAAAAGATACAAAAACATGGGACAAAAAAGGAATGACCGCCGTGGATGGAGGAAATAACACATTGAATTGTCTTTCAACTCACGCGACATTCTTTGCTCCGTCCAATGATGCAAGTAATGCGACAAACGCCACCACGGCACCACCAACTGTTGGAGGTAAAAATAGGTTTTGCTCTCCTCTCTCTCCCCCCCTTACCACTAAAACGAAAAAACGTCACGCACAAGTCATTTCCAGTTCCATTTAGGATCTCTTCCACCCGCTTTTCCTACCGACACAGGGGGGTAGGGTGAAATCAGTAACCTTGTATGCCTGGAGGTGAATTACAGTGCTAAAGGCCTGTTCATATGGAGTTGAGGAAGGTGAGGTTACCTGATTTGGTACGGTAGCCGGCCAGTCCACACAATCTCTAAACTATCTGGATAACGTTTTTTTGATGGGTGGGGTAACCCGCCATTGCTGGTTAGGGTAACCCTGTCAGCCAGGGTCGCAATTCGTCATGTGAATGTCTCAAGGAGGGGTAACCTGCTTAGCCGGGGTCGCTTTCATGTTACATTTGCAAGCGTGCCAGAACCTCTCCCTGGAATCTCGGGGTTGTAAGGTTGTATGTAAACGCAGCCTGTTTTTCGACCACGACTAGGCGAGTTACCTCACCTACCTGGGGTCTCCACCTTCAAGTAAACAACCCCTAAGTCGCGTGCTTATCGAATTAAACACCGCGGTGAAATCAGACAAGGAATTTTAACTTAAGACCACTCCTTAAGCAACGTTCACATCAGATCGATCATTGGTTTGTATGTAAATGATTCTCTCTTGATTATAAGTGAAGAAATCTCTCCATTTTCTCATTATTTGACGTTAAACATTTTAACTTTCTTGTTTTGCAGCGACACCAACAGAAAAAGAGGACAAAAACATGACAGCAGCCATCGTGGGCGGCGTAATAGGTGGCCTTGTGTTTATCGCTCTCGTCGTTGGTGTTATATGGTATCTTAACAAGAATAAGAATAAAAACTCAGGGAGGATCTCACCCGAGGATCCATCTCAATAAGAAGGGAAGAAATAACTGTAGGTCCTACCATTCACTAAAGAACACGCATACTATTTTGTTAAAATATTTCTTGCAAAAAAAATTGATCATTGCGAAACAACTGCAACCCCAGACAGATTAGCTATCGTTGTACGAAGTGTGAACTGTTAACTTTGAACTACTGAAGAAGCGAAAATTCTGGCGCATCTACGCTTGCAAGTTTTCCCTGACGGTTGTAGATGGAAACTGAGATTAGATATTTATTGGCGATTCTTTGAATCTGGTTTAAAAGATTTTGAATGAGGAACTTGTCCAGGAAAATCTTAACAACGACGAAAATCTATTAGTATAGATTATGTGATTAGGACATTGCTCTGCTGGGTCCGTCAATAGGATCCAGTATGAATTACGAAAAGATGAAGTAAGAGCAAATGGACAAAACTAACTAGCGTTTTGGGCAGTTTTTTCAAAACTTTTTTTTGTTAATTTTTAGGTACATGATACATATTTCATTGCCGATTTGTTTGAGGCAACTAATTCCAAAATTTTCCTCACTAACCAGCATTTTTAGTTTGGTTTACATTCGTAATCATTATATTCAGAAAAGATCTCCAGAGTCATCTTTGACGATGGCAAGCATTCACCTAACTCTGTAAATAGTTTAATGTGTGTATCATTTTAAACACATTTTTAATCACTAGTAGTTCAAGGCTTTTGAGCTGTTTTGAGCTATGATGCAGTAAGTCATGGGGGGACGGGGGGGGGAAGGGGGGGAGGCATGCATAAAAAATGTTTCCATGGGGTCAGTGACCTCTAGTGAAACAAGGCCTAGAAAGGATTGTAAATTAGAAAAAAGAAAAAAATGAAACAGTTATGTGTTGTCAAATGTAGCATTTGCACAGAAGTACAGATGCTTCCGTTGAAAACATTTTTGATAGGGACTGGTCGCCTCTCCCCCCCATAAAAACCATGTGTACCCCCCCCCCCTTCGACACCAAATAACGACTAGTTCCTCATATGCTGATGGCTTTAGTTAGGATTTTACTGGGAGGGTTTTTTAGCGGTGTATACAAGAGAAGTAAAGCGGTTTCGACTACTCGCTTTACATGCAATCAACCTCAAACCCAACAAGCGCTTATCGAGTGATCATAAGTTTGAAGTTTAATAGACATGCACCCTGTGTGTAAAATAATGTAGGAAAACATTTGCAATAAATTTTTCATAATGTGGTTTTTTCTCTGTGATATTTTCCACCATATAGCTATGTTGGAATGGCCGTGATACGAACTGTAACATTCATGGAAGGGTAAAGCAAAGGGACTGAACCGTTCCAGACACCACAAATATTTTTTGCCTTCCACAAAAACCGAATGTGAAATCGTGATACTTGCCGTGTTCTGTGAGATTCCGGACTGACCTGACCTTCTGAAAATCGTCCTAAGTTGTGCTAAAATAAGACAAAGGCGCTGGTAGTTTTAAAATTGCTTATTTGTCTTGCCACTCACCATGACGTAACGTTCTTCGGGCCAAAACAAGGCTGCACTCGAATTCGAGTATCAATTCGGACTAAGGCGCGACCTAAATTCAAACACAGCGGCCTATTGTCAACGCAGTCGTTTGTAAATTGTGCGCTGCGCTTCCTACCATTTGAGTTGAATTCTGGGACGTCTGCGAGTGCCGCCAGAATAAAGAGCTGGTTTCGAAATGGCGGCGTCCTTTTTTTTTCCTAAGAAATACACGGTTGATATCTGGAACGTGAAATGAGGCTTGTTGCTCTTTCATTTCAACATTCACTTTTTAATGGGAGAAAATTTTTTTTTGGGGGGGGGGTTGAGTTTAGAGAAGTCTTCTCCTTTAAAGTGGTTCAAACTATTGTATTTGATTTTAAAACAATTATTTAACAGTTCAAAGTCACCATGAAACATTTCAGTGTTCATTTGAGATCTTGAAATTGGTATCCAAACCATCTGTAAGTGATCTACAATATCATAAGTACCTCTAGATTTTAGTTTTGTTCTTGTGGAATATAATAATCCTTGAATTATTTGCTTTCATCTGACCATGCGTCGTTGTCGTAACTTTGTTTTCGGGATGCCGTTGATCGTCGTCGCATCTTCGTTTCGTCGTGTTGTCGCAACTAATGATGCAGTATTCAATCCAACAGGATTTCTCTCAAGTTAATTGCTGTTCGGGGTGTGACAATAATAGTGTTTCTGGTTCGCTTTCTGTTGTCAATATGCGATGATCAAAGAGAACAGCTTCAAGAGAAATCATTGTGCGTCTGTTGCTGTTGGTTAATAGGTGGGACTGAAACAAATTCAATGCTTATTTACTTGATAGAAGATTAAAACTAACATGTTATGCCCGCTGATAGCAGGTGCCAAGCAGGTGAGTGGCCAGTTGATAAATAATGATATATGCCCCACGAGCTAGTAACCACAAGTCAAATTAGGATACAAATTAGCATTTGAACCTAACTTTGTGATGCATTTTCGTTCAATCCATCGCTGAAGAACTTTCTCTTTTGTCAAACAGTTGCAGATTGTTTTTGCTCATGTGGCAAATCACAAATGGAAATCGCCCTCTGGTTGACACAGTCCTGTCTCCTTGCTGTGGCCTTATTCGTTTCTCTTGGGGAAGAGCTGGTTTTAGACCCAAAGGGAAACGAGTTGTTTCTGAATTCTATTCCCGTGCTAAATGAAAAAACTCGGCATCAGCCCAACATGTCACAATGTTACCTGTTGGAGAAGCCTGCAAAGTGGCAGATTTCATTCGGTGTTCTCACCGCCGCACATGCAACCTTCTTACTCGTGCTTTTTAGACTGCGAAGCCACAAGAAATCTCCCCAGCCTATTTTACCCGTTCTGTGTGTAACCAGCTGGTTGATGGTTGTGTTGCTTTTGTGCGCAAAGATCGTTATTTATCTAACACCGAATGTAACCACTGAAACAGGCCCAAAAGGTGACTATCTCACCATGATTCTTACTGTTGCCTGGGAGGCAACCAGGGCCCATTTCGGAAAATGGTCCCAAAGGATTTTTCACGCTGTTGTGCAGTCGATACAGCCTAGTAATTATATGCAAGATTTCATTCAATGGCAACTGAATAAAATTTACGTCTGCTTGCCTGAAGGTATGGCAATGGAAGAATTTGGGCCGAGGATACCTCGAGCTACTTTCGTGTTAGTTATAACATACTGCATTTCTAGTGGTTACGTGATATTTCTTGTTTTAAATTACGAGGAGGACACCGTAAAAATGAGCTGTGAGCAGTTCAACAGTAGACGTAAAAGATCTACAAAGCATAGAGATTATGGTTGTGACAGTTTAGACCTGGAAGGGGAGGAAATGAGGCAAAGAAGAACCATAATGTGTAAATCGAAAAATTGCCTTCGGGGAAAAGAAAAATTTAGTGTTGCTTTCCTGGAAGAGAGTGACGAGGAATCTTTCGTATTCGGTTGGCGGTTGTAAAGGTTTTAAAACTCGCACAAGTCTTTTTGTCAACAAAGCGATGAGTTACTGTGACGTCTTGTAAAAGACATCTCCGAAATGAGAATAGTTTACATTCACTAAGGTGACAGGACGAGATGGAGAATATACATTAGTCAGAGGTTTCGTATTTAGTAGAAGAGTAACAATTCTTTCTTTCTACTCACAAGACACTAGTGGCGTCGGAGCGTTTCGACATTTGACTAGAAACGCTATTGATGGCGTATCTGTGCAAGCTGAAGACATTTCCGTATTCTTACTTGCAAGGGGCACGCATGTAAAGAGATGATCCATGCAGGCGAGCTGCAAACAAAGAAATTGCAGGAAATGAAAAAGAAACCTTGAAGAAAATTCAGGTCGAACCCGCGCGCCTCAGAGACCGATTAGACGCTACGACCATCTGAGCTACGAAGCCACATGCTGAAAGCCAAGCAAACGTTTCTGGATTCCTCTTTCTCGTAAATGAATCTGATCATAATTAAATATTAAGATGGAATACATTTTCCTTGGAGAAATGCATCAATGCAGGACAGCGTAGGCATGCCGGGCCCTGTGTGTGACGAGTTACAGCATCAAAGAAAAGGTGTTGTAGAGGCGGAATAATCTCCCAAAATGATCGCGATCTTTTATCTGGGAGCCCACTGCGCTTGACAGCGCTCTCGAGCGAGAACAAACTGAAAAATGCCTCAAGTTAACCGAACACAAGATATAAAGGGGCAAAACCTTTTAAAATATTACTTCAACAACCTTGCGAATTCGAGTTTTATTTTCCCCAAAGTTAATTACACGTATACGTACGAAGAACCGTTTAAATACGTGTAGAGAGTATTTACTTCCAGCACAGTCAACATAAAATTGAGGAGAAATAAATAGAGAGTGTGCAATGATCACAAGATTTTTGCAGAAAGATACGGCTCAATGTCAGAACCAAAACAACTGCGCACCTACCCTTCCCCTAACCCAACACTCACCCTAACTTGCTGTCAGTTGATTGTTGTTGCGTGAGGGGAGGGCTAGGTGCGCAGTTTCTTAGACACTGCCATCGATCCAGAGATACCATAGAGAAAATTCATCCGAGCTTCTGTGTAACATTGTGCATAAGGCATGATAAAAAAAATCCAAGAAAATTTGAAGTGGTAATCGTTAAAAAACTATATCTCCACTAGTATAGTACTCTCTCTCTCTACTTCTCCAAGGTGTGAATTAAAAACCATTACTTTTTTTTTTAATTAAAACGAACTTTTAATATCAATGTAAAAAGAAAATAATAAAAACGCTTTGCGACCATACGGCAACGCACTTATAAAATCATCAACCTCTAGAGTAGCAGAATGAGAGGGAATAAAATTAAAAACACCGTCATTTGAATTCTTATAAAAAAAAGCTTGACCGACATTACTCTTGGTATCCATCGGGAGAGCTTGCACGCGTTCGAAAGTTTTCGAATATCTTTCAGCCAGTCAGCAAATAGCAAGATCACACAAGTTGCTTGGCAACTATGAAAACCGCTGTCTCAGTCCAATTCTACCTAAATTCAATCTGTCATTTTGAGTAGAAGAAATTCTTGGAGAGGAAACGTTTCTTTAGCAACTTATTATTTATCATTAATAAGCTAGTTTTAACAGTTATTTCTGACAAAACAGGGTGCACTCGCGAAATATGTCCCTTTCTAAAACGCAAGCACACTTTCATCCTTGTAACATCGCTATCGTCCTTACATACATGTATCTTCCATAATAAAATGCATCCGTCACTATTTTCGTCGAACTGTTCGTCTTGCGGCTCTTGGGTAGCATCGCAACATGGGAAGGCAAATATGACGTTCAAACCTCAAAAATTTCTCGACATCTTCACTGCTTGGACCGAATTCCTGAATCAACGGCATTCCCACGAAGCCACGCTGTCAGTTCGGCAGCAGAAGGACACTTCATCCTTACCCATACCACAGACATGTGGCAGGCACGTGGCTGGCAACCTGGACTTCACCGACGTTTCCCAGTTTTTCTCAATTGTCTTCAGTGGAGAAGAGGTAGTCACATTTTTCTATACACGTTTGAATGAATAACAGCAAGTACATGTGCGTAGACATCTCCAACCGGGTGAAGTCCGGACGAATAATAGTCGGGAATAAGACCAATGCTATGTTTCTCGATTCCATGAGATTGTCCTTGGAAAACTCCGTCACTCTGTAAAAAAAAGTGTTTTAAAAGAATGGGTATCTGCTTAAGCCATTTTGGCATTCAATTGAAAACCTCCCCGAGCCCGAAGGGAGTACTGTACACCTATATAAAATACATTGATGATATTGCCTGTCGTTGTATGAACCCTTTACACCCTAACATCAGAATGCATATTCTCCATACTGTTCTCCGTGCATTTCTAAGGAAGCTGACGAGGAGAATTTGTTTAACAATCAAGAGCTACTTTAGCTGGTGATCACCTCCTCTATTTTCCTGACTTTCGTGTTTGTTTCAGGGGTGATATTGTGAGGAGAAATTAGATGCTAGACACTCTTAGGGGTTACAGGGTTAAATGCTTCGCGCGAGAGAAGAAAGATCAAAACTCTGGTTTACAACTCAACCTACCGATTCAGATGGAACATGATTCGTTTGAAGACAGCAATGTTATGTGGTGGTATATCTTGTAGAAGCTGCTTGAGCCGAGCTAAGCGGCTATTGGCATCAGCATCAACTGCACAGGAAGGATACACAAAAAAGTGAATATACATGAGGAACCATTTCTTTTAAGTGACACGGCCGGACGCAAATTCTTGAGAAGCGTGAGAAAAACAAGCATTTCCAATCGTGGGCAAATAAAGAAAATAACAGAAGTGTTCCCAAGGAACAAAAAAATAAATATTCGGTAAAAAAATCTGCACAATGTATATGAGACTCCAAATTTTAAGCTCTAGTATTATTAGTTTTTGCTACTACTTAACAGAGAAGGGTCTATAAGCCACTTCACAATACAATCGATTCAGATTTTGTTCAACTTACCCATAGCATCATGGAATGAGCTCTGATAGGCTCCTGGGATTATTGGCTCTGGGAGGAGCTTTAGGAATGACTTGAAGGCACCTGTCACTGCATGGACCGTAACCCCTAGCTCGGCCAACTCTACGTTAGAATCTGGTACAGAGAAAAAGAAGGAGGCAACTTTCCCTTAAATTTTCGTACCAAAAAAACCAGATGAACTTTTAATAAAGCTGATACCCAAGGTTGGAATTGTTTCCGGGCACTAAACAGTTCAAATCTTCGACCACACTTCCATGCATTAAGAGGCCAAGTTTCTGGAGAAACTATGGTGCTGCTTCGGTGGGGGTTGATATAAGGTAATTTGGTTTTAACAACTGAGTTAATAATATAAAGAGTTTCTTAAGGTAACGTAACGAGGGTTAGCCCCACGTCAGAGCCCTTCGTAAGTACACTCAGTGGAAAGGCTGACGCTCGACACATTAACTTTGAAAACTCCAATTTACACCGTTGTACATAGCAAACTGGTTTGCCTCCTGCCAATTACGCTTCTTGATAACGTTTCGTTCGATTTGGATTCCTTTTTTGATTGACTGTAAACAATTGGGAAAGCTAGGTGCACTTCTTCTACAATATAAATACTGCAATTTTCATTTGAGTTACTGTTATCAACTTAATAAAAACTCAACTACTTACTCTCTTCAACCTTCTGTTCAATGAGGTTTATGTCCGCTGCGTTACCATTCACTCTGTATATTCCCTCTACTTGCATTCCTTTAAGATGACGAGACAAAAAAATAAAAAATATAAATCACTTTACGCTGTGTGGAAACATGGCTTAACAGGCAAAAATGAATTTCTTAAAAGTTGAAGGACGGTTTATCCAATACACACCTTTTGAAAAAGGCAGGCAAAGTCTACAAATGATACCAAAACACGTAACAATCTCATGTGATAGCCAATAAAAAACAATCACAACGATTTACGATTTACTGGGATTGCGCGACTCACCTGTATTCTCTACAAATTCGATACATTTATCCAAGAATGCAGGGACAAGTGTTGTTGGATCGCAGATTGACTCAAGCGGTTGACCAAAGTAAGTGTAATTGCTGATATTTTTCTGTCTGCTCTGGAAAAATTTGTCTATCTTCTCCCTATCCTTTCTCTTCTTCTTCTCTTCACGTTTCTGACGCTTCTCGTCTTCTCGCGATTTCTTCTCTTCTCGCTTCTTCTGTTTCTGAGCTTCGCGCTCCTCTCGACTCGGTTTCTTTCTGGATGACGACCAAGGCTAAGAAACGATAAAAATATGGTTTTAGACACTTTGGCTGCTAATGTTTGGATGGTGAGTTAAAAAAAACAAAAAAACAAAAAACAAAAAACAAAATAAAACAACGAAACAGAAACAAATGACCAGCCAAGTTATTTGAACCTACGGCTTCCCGTTCACCTTAACCATTTAAACCCTAAGAATGACCAACATCTCATTTCTCATTACATAAATACTGCTGAATCATTTATTATGATCGTGAGAATTAAGGAAATAATCGCTAACCTGAGAAGCTTTGACTTTTACACGAATTCTCCTTGTCAGTACCAAAGGAAATGTGTAGAGTAGAGTTTGGAGAATATGCATGCTGACGTTAGGGTGTAACTGGTTAACTTTCGTTTTACCTTAGCTATTAGTCGTATCGTCTTTAGTCCAATTCAGAAGCTCGTATCAATTAACACAAATAAACAAAAAGATTCAAAAATACTCACCGATTTCCTTGGTTTATGACCGGGCGAACCTGGGTCATCCTCTGTTTCCTAAGATAAATGCATCAAAAATAGTTTAAAAGCGAACGGACAGAGCCTGGTACAAAGCACACCCACACTGTGTATTTGTTTGGTGTGAAACGTCTGTCTGTCCAAGTAGCCCATATAGACGGAGCTCGGCCCAGTTTCTAAGCATGAAGCGACCATGAAATTTAGGACTAGTGTCAGTGTTTGAGCAACTGGGCACCTACCCCTTCCCTAAACCAAAACAGTCCGCTGATAACAAGTTAGGGTTAAGTTGGGTGAGGGGAGAGGTAGGCGCAAAGTTGATCAGATACTGACATTGATCCGAATATTTCTACTTCCACTAGACAGGATGCCATAAACTGAACCGCTCAACCTTGTCAAAAGGTAGAGGGCTAAAGTAAGTCAAATGCTATTAACAAGTAACATATTTTGTGTACCTCTTCAGTGCCAGGATCTGACTGCCTCTGAGGTATGTCCAAGAGGGCGGGCTGAAGAGAACCAAACAGAACAAATTATTTCAAGACCTTCATATGTACAAGTCTTATTTTGTCCCAAACAACTTCTTTACAGCCTCAGGCTCTCATTACAAACAACACGCAAACTGAGATTGCGGACTAAGATTTTCCATTTTCCCTTTTTCTAACTAGGTCGATTTAGTTGATGCTTACAACTAAACTTTCCTTGTGGAATGAATAATAAAGCGAAAAAAAAAAAAAAAAGACATCTCTCATTACGACTTGTCCAGGTTGGCTTCCTATCACTGTAATAAGTTCACCCCAGTTCAGAGTATTTTCCTAGTGCAAGGGTGATTTTTTTTTTTTTATAAAAACATGAGTTAAATGAGACTACTTAATTCTTTCACATTATTTCTCCCAGAAGTTTATCTCTAAACCTCGAATTCGCTTTCAGTCTAGTTTTCTAAGTTCGCCACCGAAGAGGAAAGAAAGCCTTGGAGAATAGTTTGTATTGCAATACCTAAAGTTGGAAACTTTTCTCCCCTTCACCGAGCCGTTTGCAACCCTCGTCCTTAAGAAAGCACTCTTACACCTGTACTTATATACACACCCTAGCCAGTCGTTTATTTTTTCCTCTGGCGTCTAACGTGCTGCCAAAGGAAGATTCGTCTTCTTGACTGGAGGACATAGTTCCACCTTTCCTTTGGTCTTTCTTGCCTTCCAAATAGAAATACATGAACCCAATAAATAAATTACCCCATGGAATCAACTTATTTCTCAATCTTTATGTTTCGTAATACAGTGGAACCCCTGTTCCGGGGAGCACTCATAGGGCTAAAGAGTGCCCCTTTCTTCTTCAATGAAGGCAAAGAATACAAAGGTCTTAGCAGCTTTTTTGTTGTCGTTGTTGACTGCAGGCGGAATGAAAGATTTGTGTCCTCGAGGAGAAGTGTCTCCCGATTAGTCCAAAAGAGGTCACACTCGACTATGAAGGCTTCTCATTCAGAGGATTAATAATAGTAATAGGTCGGAGTGGAGACCAATTCGGTCTGTAATCATACGAGCGATTCAGAAAATTGGACGAGCGAGAACTGGGAGTCAGATTTGTCAATCAGAAGTATCATCATTAACTGAATCAAGCGACATGAAGTCCTGTTACCAATAAATTATAACCATAACAATTTCCGAGGAAAAAAAAAACGTATTCATTGAATGAAGGCCTTATAATGCCAGTCTTTAAACACAACCATTACGATCTTGGACAAAGGCTAACTTAAAAGCCCCAGGCACAGCCTCCTATATTTTGGCAAAAACCCAGCTTGGGATTGTTTGCCAATGCTCAGCTAAGATTACTGTAACCAAATCTGTGATTGAAGGATTCCTTTCAGTTCACTCAGTGGGATTGGCTGATTGTAACTGTCTGATTACAGGTGTCGGAATGCAGCTGACTGTCCATTCGCACTGTCCGATTGCACATATATATATTATGATTATCAGTGAAAAATAACGCAGTTCATCCACCAAACACATTCGAGGAAAAACACCCTGCCCCACCCCGTGTGCCCACCTGATTTCCTTCCAGAAAACAGCTGTTTCTTGTGTACCTCTGTAGGTACGTTTGGCGTGGACGACTGACCACTTCGTGTAGTACTTCGAGATCGTCTGATGATATTTTTTTTCTTCGCCGGGCGCTCTTCAGTTCGAGGCAATGTAGCCTCGTCCCCAGTTCCTTGATCAGACGTGGCGCTATCTCCTCGCTTTTCACGTCTTCCGTTTACTGGGCGACCAAAGGTGTCTAGAAAAAGCCACAAATATACTTCAAACCTGTTAACGCGCGAACAGAGAAAAGTATATATCGACACCGTCTTCTGAAAGAGGGCGTTGTTTTTATAAAAGGATGTCCAGAATTGTTGGAAAATTTCATTGACCTCCTTGAAATCAACAGATTACTGGGCAGACATTTGAAGGTAATTAAGAGGTTAATTAGCATAAAACGGTATTCGAATAAAGAAATAAATCTTAGGACTTTAAGGCAAGAACAGATGGAAGAGACACACTCACCTCGCCTGGATTGTCTCTCCAGCGTACTAACGTCTTCAGCAGAATGCGCCAGCCTCAATGAAGCTTTAGCTGTCACCTTTGCATGCGGCTTTGGTTTCTTGTCTGAATCGCTGGGTTCCTCAACAACAGCAACAGCGTAAATAGTCTTCCGGGGTTTTACTGATATCTTCAGATTATTTTTTAATGCTTCCTGAACTTGAGCATACTCTGGGTCGCTAACATCCTGAAAGAATGAGAGTAACAAACACATTAATGATGTGCTGCGTCACGAGTCTACCTTCTGTCACGACAACACTCGTCACGTTAGTCTTGACCATCCTACATGTAGTTCCCAAAAATTACAGAACGGACAAACATTGTAAACGTCACTCTTGGCACCCTCACCATGAAACATGTCAGTCCGCTCCACTCATTTTTTTTCTTCTTGCGCAGGATCAAAGCGGGCAATCCCGAGCGAGAAAGATTGTGTGGCCAATCAGAACACAAGATTTGCCTCACCTTAACCACAAGCAATGCCAGCTTAAACGCATAATGTACATAATGAGTTATAGCTTGAAGACTGCGTGTTATTTATCCGCCTTCCATACTTATCTGCGTGTATTCTCACCATTCGCGACCAAGTGTTTTGCGCGAAGGCGTGAGTTACGCGAACCATAAGAGCTCTTACCTCGAGTAGCTACAATGCTATTTTGCTCGTAAGGTATAGTGTCATTAAAGTGAAATGAACTTGTATTGCAAAGCTCTCACCTCTTGCTGAGCCAGAGGTGCTCCCGCATCCGACTCCTTTCTGTGGAGATCAGGTACAGATGAATGAGACTCATCCTGTCTTGCATTCATCTTCACCCATACGTCATGTTTCGGTGTGACCATTTTGTTGTTAAAGAAGTCTATCTTCTCTTTTACCTTCATATAGTATGGATCCTCCGCTGCTATAGAGGAAGGCCGGGGTTGTACGTCGGCTAAAGCAGCGTAGGGGTTTTCTTCTTTCAGGTTCTCATTCTTAAACGTGTTATAGCCCTCATCATCATTGCTCCTAAGAGTATCCGTTCTGGACTCCGCTGGAGGGATCATGGGTGGGACTACAGGTGGGAAATCCTCGCTTAAATCGTAATTCCTCTTCGGAAGGGGCGGTGGAACTTCGCGAGCCGTGGGAGGAGTCTCTCGGGCGGATTTTTGCGACTGCACCAAATTGTTGTTGGCGTAGAGGGTGTTCTCGATCAAGTTGACCTCACTGTCGTTCATGGTCAGATCTTTGGATTTCCTGAACGAGCGTTTTCGAGACAAGTCAACCTGAGCGTAAAGTTCCTCTGACTTACCCTCTCTCTTCTGCCAGACATCACTGCTCTGCGGCGTACTATTGGGAACGCTATTCTGCTTTAGGCTCATAAAGAGGGCATTCGGCGTCGAAGTAGCGTAGGGCTGTAGATCGCCGCTTCCTCTGGAATTCCTCGCCTCACTGTTTTTCATCGCACTAAAAGGCCTCTTGACGGAATCAAACACTGCGTATGGATTGATTTCAGAGTCATCCAACGTCCCATTGGACATTCGATGGACTGACTTGGGGGAGGCTGGTTGCTCCTGCTGCTGGTCACTGAGGCTTCGTCTCCGGTTGAATTCGTCTTCGCAGTTCGCCGGCCTTTTCCTTGGCGGCTCCGGTAGAGGATCATGCTTTGAACGGATTGAATTGTTGTGTTGCTTCTGAGACAGGCGAAGTTGTTGTTCGGCCAAGAACTTCGAGTATGCTACCTCGCTCTCTCTTTTCTTTTCCCAAACTTGATTGAAAAACGCAGCGAACGCACCAGCTGAAAATAAAGAGCGAAAAGACGCTACGTTAGTCTCCCCAAACCCAGAAGTGAAATACAATCTAGACTTTCGACTATAAACAGTCCAGCAGAAACATGAGAAATGAGATATCACGCGAGCAACAGCTTCTCGGGAATAGTTAGAGATAGAATAATTCTCGGAGTGGCACTCTAACGAAGGGCTGACGCTCGAAGCGACAGCTTTAAAATCTCTTTGTAGTTGCTAATTTACATTTCCAACTCCGTTGATAAAACCAAATCAACTTGTAAAACCCCAACTGACCCAGCACCACAGTTTCGTGAGAAAATTACCCCTCTACACTAATTACGTTTCGGTTGTAGGGGGACAAGGCTATACTCTGTCTTGCAACTTGTTTCGCATTATTTTTTTAATTTCATTTTTATTTTCTTGCGACAAAAGCCGAAAAGAAACCTGCCCAGCACAGAAGCACGGAGATGAACATGTCTCCTTCGCATAAATCGTTTCACAATGAAGAATTAACTTCTTTGAAGGAAGCGCCAACATAGTTTTCGTATTGATTACAACAACCTTCGTCGCTGCCACAAATTTCTAATGTGTGGCTCTACAAAAAAAAAAGAAAAAAAAAGAGGCCTTCCTCTACGCAGCTTGTTTTGCAAAAGAGCAACAGAACTCCAAGGCTAGGCGCAAAATTGTTGCTAAGGGAACAGAGGCATTACACCATAGCAATACTCGTCGCTTAAAGCCTTTTTTTTTTGTTTGTACGCTGGATTTGCTCTTCAAAAACCGATTCATTAATTGATCGCATTCTCTCTGCGACAGGAATACGACTGATGTAGTATTAAGCTTATTTATTCATATAAAAAGTGCGCCTTGGAATTCTTCAATGCCATGCCATGTTACGTTACGTCGCAGTCGAACAAAAACAAACCTTGATGCTGAAATTGCGAGGAGGTTGTCTGGAACTTTGCAAACAGTTTGCTAGCCAGGTTCGTGCCATCAGCCAACAGAGAAGCTGCCACATGGCTGTGAAACACCACACTGGCGCCAGCAGCACTGCCAGTTACTGCCAACACCTGTATAGGAACCTGAGGTATAAATCCTGAGAAGCCACTGAAAAGGAAAACAAAAAGAGTGGTTACTGACAGTGCGGGTCAAGGAGGGTTGGGTGAGCAATGGAGATGTGTTACAAACTGTTGCATACGTAGGCTAACAGATTGTGCGAGGCTTTCTTCACCCGCTCCTTTTCTCGCGTTTAGGAGGCTCAGAGCTCCAACCCGCGACCAGATTGGTCGCCATGGCGAGAAGTAAAAAATTTTTGAGACTAAATTTGCAGTGTCGGTCGCCAATTTGGCGACATGTGTTCGACGGTCAAGTAAAATACCGCAATATTTTTATTTCTTAGTGTCAATGATATTAATCAAAAAAGAGAACAAAAATTGGCTTAAATAGTGTCGAAGCTCAGGCGATTTCTTTTCGAGGAATTTTCCTTTTTCCCCCTTGGCCCTCCCTCCGAGTATCAAGCTTTGAGGTATTCTGTAGCCCGCCGATAGAACGAAATTATTCTCTTCATTCGAGCCACCAGGCTTCATTCCCGGCAACCTTTTCATGAGTTTAGGATGCTACATAGCGACTTGGGAAAAAGTGGGCACGCATTCCTTAGGCTTGAGAAGGTCAGGTAAAAGCGATCCCCACGAATTCTCGCTGTTGTTCTGGCAGTTATTTTTACAAATATTTTTACGCATCTCATTACCTTAGTGTTCCTAACGAGGCTTTTCGTATGGCCGAGTACACCAAGATGTAGCCATGATACATTTGGTAGTTAAGGCTGTATGCTCCTGTAAAAAGAATATCAGCACATGAATTCAGGCCACCAATATCCAGAACCCTTGAAAAATGGTGTTCGGTTTGATTGAAAAGCAGCAGAAAGGTGAGGAAAAACGAAAAAGAGGCGAGAAAGGGACATATTGGTAAAGATTAGACTCTTTGATGTGACCTAAGTTCAAATAAAAAGGAAAAATAAAAATAGCACTCACAATCTTGAAAATGTCTAGCTCAATTTTGAAACAAGCGCAAGCATTGACCTAGCACTGCAGTGCATGTAATAGTTATCTGCACACATGTTTTATCGGAAGATTTTACTTACTATGGTAAGAAGTCAGAGTTATCTGTACTCGTCGCTTATCAAACCCAAGGTAAGTTTCCAGGATGATTGTGTCTGGCCGGTTGGAACTTCTCCAACAGTTTTGATGGTGAAGAAGCGGCCCAAGAATCAGCTCCACTGGATAAGGATCTCCGCACATGGCACACAGCATGATCCTAAAACAAGAGAATTGGAGCTCAAAACAGCAATTCTCAAATGGGTGCGTTTTCCCGCGCTTTACGCCAGCCATCTCACTGGCAACTCGAGATATCTTCGCTCGTTCTGATTGGCTGTTGTGATGATTTCGCTTTGGTTTTACAACACTCATCGAAAAGCACTCTACTACACTCCGTGATTGGTTCAGAAAACTAACGCTAACCTCTGCACCAACCAGACAGAAAACCAAACTAATCGTGGCTTGGTCACTCGTGTTTTACGCGCATCAGGCGTAGTAAAGATTTCATACGTTTGAATCCATAACTGCACACCATCAACACTCCAAAGAGGAGAGAGGAACTGTAAGCGTTAACCCTTTAACTTCTTAGATCTGATTGTTAATTCTCCCTTCTAGCTGCTACACATTTCCTTGTGAATTAGTTACGAGAATGTGGTGTTAGATCAAGATGACAACTTCTACCTGATAGGTCTGAGTATTCTCATTACCTTTTTGCTGAACAATGTATGGATATTATGGGGAAAAGTTACGTGTTAATCACTTCTGGGAGTTACAGGGTTAAGTGTCTTGCCCGAAAAAACGACCTGGCCAGGGCGAACCCTGCACATTTAAACCCTAAAGTCAGTGCAGTAAAATTTAATCAGTAAGTGTCTCTTCTAGACAACAGGAAGTAATTTAAAACTGATCACGCCATTCTACTGAACCAAATCATGCATAGCCATCTCTATGAAAAGACGAACGAAGTCAAACGTTGGTACTACACATACGACATAAAGAAACACACGTCGAAATAATAACTAAATCGCTTACTTCAAATCTGGATCACTGTCTTTCAAATCTTCTATTGACAGATTGGTGCGAGCTTGTTGTTTTAGGTTCTCTACCAGTCCCCGCATAGCGTCCACAACTTGTGTCTCATGAATCATCTTCCCGGGTGAGAAGCGAGCCACTGGCAAATCAATGAATGTTGCATTGTACCTGAATCACAAAAAGAACAATTTAAAACCAAGAGAATTACGCTGGACTCCCAAACGTTCCTTTCGGTCAGTGACATTGTAAAGTGAAAGGAAAAACTTTATCAGTTGTGAGACGAATAAAACCACTCCATAATGAACAGATGTTCATGGAAACTGTTACCAAGAAAACTCACTATCCTCAGTAGTAAACAGCATATCAACTATATTCAACCTGTTGATTTACTGGGTTCGTACAGTTTTGAGAACAGATTAAAAAATGTTGTCCAAAATTGCCAAAACCACTGTTTAAGTATCTAGACTCAACCTTATCAGTAAATCACATGGCCAGTGGTGAAGATGTTTGGGGCTTGCCCAAATCTGGAAATTCTAAGGTCAAGCTATTCAAATATCTAACCTTTATGTAAGTTAATTGACATAAAAATTTATATAACTGACGCAAAATATTCTTAGCAAGCCAAGACCTGGATAAAATTCGACTAAACTCCTTCTTCTTCGATAAAAGGAATAACTCAAGAGTTTCCATACAGTTTCAAGGCCTTGAAAATACTTTCAACAAATTCCCAGACTTTCTATAAGAGTCACAGCCTAGATTCTAGTGGTTATACTCAGATTTCTAGTGAACTAGTAGACAACCACACTACAGTGCACATACATACCTGGAGGCCAATTCTTGACCTTCCTTTCTCAGTTGATGAATGTTATCATCGTCGCTAAGATTCCTTGCCAGGACGAGGAATGTTGGGGGGGGAAGCTGCACAGGGTTTGAGTCATCCACGCTGTCGTACTTACAACGCTCGCTCATTTCACTCAGACAATAGCGAATAAAATCCAGAGAACTGGATGAACCATAGACACAGAAACAAGCTGGAAGAAACATATGCATTACAAACAGCTTTAGATACAAAAATAATTTCTTCACTTTTCAGACACAGGTGACAAGATACCATTTGCAGTGTGAATGACAACTGTACAATGTTAACCCTTTGACTCCCACAAGTGACCAAGACAGAATTTCTCCTTACAATATCAATGCAATATCAACCAGATAAATGATGAGAATAAAGAAAAATATCAAGTTGGGAATAATTAGTTGATCCAATAATAAAATTCTCCAAACTAATATTATAAGAATTGTATGGTTGACAGTAAGGAGAATTACAAATTTAATTTGGGAGCAAAAGGGTTAAGGATGATTAAGTTTCCTTGATGAAATACAACGCGTCATATTCCTCCCATGGAGACTTTTAACGGCTGGAATTATCTCCACCTTTACACTAACTCAACCAGCACTACCACCATCAAAAAAGCCTCATTTTCTTTCCCTTGTATTTTATCTATGAACATGAAAATTTTTAATTTTAACAGACTCCACTCCCTCCAAATTCAAATGTCCCCACTTTGACATAGGCAGCAGAGCAGGAGAGACAAGGTGGCTGCTTACTAAATAGTTCCCAGTCTTTTCCATAATTTGATGTGACAACATGAAGACCATAAAACCCTATTGTTTTTAAACTTATTAATGGCCCTAGAACTGCTTCATTATTGCTAATCACCTTGACTAGTCAAGTCAGTTCCAGCCAAAGCATATTCTGGTGGATCCATGTTGCCATCCACCACATGATAGTCCAGTTCATACATGCGGCCATCAAGGACAAACTCTAGATTGTCTGGATCTCCATATGAACACTGGGTCTGCAATATCAGAAAAATATCAAAACTAAAACATGGAAAGAAACAAAATAACATACTAGACACTACTAAATTAAAGTTTGGCTTTTTTGAGAGAGAAGCTATGCAGTATATTTCACTCTTTAACCCCTTGGAGTGATGGGCAGATAATTTCTCCCAAAAGATTACCCTTTAATCCAACATTAAGGTCATGAGAATAAAGGAAATGATTGCAAACTCAAGAAGCTCTTGATTGCTAAACAAATTTTCCTTGTCAGTATTACAGGAATATATAGGGAACAGTATGGAAAACTTGCATACTGATATTAAAGTATAAAAAGTTATATGTAAATGTTTTCAACCTTGAAATAAGTGACAGGCAGTTCTGTTCTATTATTACCATTATTATTATCATTAATTTTGTTTTTATGATGACACCGTATAATTTGTAACCAAAGACAATGAGCAAAGAAAGGTAATATATACATGTACATACCCGAATTTCACTTTCCATGGCCTGAGCAAAACCCCCACTGCCCAGAATAAGCAGGTTAATTTGGCTGTCATCGCTGTCTAGTGTCTCACTACTGTCCATGAATGTTGGCCTGTCAAAAAAATACAGAATAAGAAACACACCAAGCTCCAACTGCTGCGTAAAATCATAATAAATTGCAAAAAAAAAAACTATCCATGATGTATCTCCTAAAACTTGTACACAAGAGTTTCTTCTACAGATAAAAACACAAAAAGATCATATCCATTATGCACCAGAACAATATTTGTTTGTGCATGTACATGTAACTGTAAAAACATATAGGATAACACTGGATCCAAAATGTAAACAAAATTATGTTTTGTCTGTGTTTATTGGTGAATGTCTAAAGATAAATCGGTTTGCAGCCCTGTTCAAATTTGTAAAGCTTGGTTAATCTCAGCATGCACAGTACCATACACATAATGTACATGGATATAAGAGAGATCTTAAAAAAATTAAAGGGATGAAAAGCAATTGTGATTCACTCTTTAAGCAATAGAAGAGTTGTTGGAGTAATCTTTCACTTTCACAATTTACCACAATCAAACTTCATCAAATTTAATTCTATGTAAACTTGAGATTGATGAAAATAATTGGTGAAAGCATGTTTGTGGAGTATAGACAAATAATAATTCATTCATTCTAGAAGTTAAGGTGCATCAACCTTGAACTGTTTTGTTGACTGTCATCCAGTCAATAATGAATCATCTACATGTCACTGTAAAGGCATGACATCATCTTTAGCTCACTATCCAGAAAATGATATAATTTTGTTTGTGCATGTACATGAATACATAAAAACATACAGGATAAAAATGGATCCACAATGTAAACAAAATTATGTTTTGTCCATGTTTACTGGTAAATGTCTTAAAAATGAATCGGTTTGCAGCCCTGTTCAAATTTTATACAGCAACAACATGCACAGTACCATACACATAACGTACATGGATATAAGAGAGATCTTTAAAAAAATAAAGGGATGAAAGCAATTGTGATTAACTCTTTAAGCAATTGAAGAGTTGTTAGAATAGTCTTTCACTTTCAAAGTTTACCACAATCAAATTCCATCAAATTTAATTACATGTAAACTTAAAATTGATGAAAATAACTGGTGAAAGCATGTTTGTAGAGTATCAACATATCATAGTTCATTCATTCTGGAAGTTAAGGTGCATCAACCTACAACTGTTTTGTTGACTGTCATCTGGTCAATGATGAATCATCTACATGTACATTTAAATGCATGACAACATCTTTAGCTCACTATCCAGAAAATGATGTAATTTCAAATATACTTAAAAAATTAAATGAAGTGGATATAAAGGTTATAAAATGTAAACTACTAGTAAAAACGAAATCTGAGTAACAAATGAGACAACCTAATGCAATCTGATTTTTCCTGCTATCTGTGAAACAAAGATACTGGCCTTAGCTTGTTTGAGACAAGTGTTAGGCATATAAATTTTCACACAATTGTGTTCAACTGTTCATCTGCTTTTCAGTGACCTCGAATAACCCAGAGAACAGAACAAAAAATAGCTTCTTAATTAATTGCTTGTGCCAAAACAGCAAAATCAAGTGAATATCTACCTCAAACGATTATCATTCTATTTTTCTGTTAATGAAATTTAACCCTTAAAAACAGGTTGCATGCATAGTAATGCTTCAACAATACCATGCTTTGTGTAACAAAGGACAGGTGCACATGAAATTACATGTAATTTTAATAAATATCCCAGAGACAGCCAAAACAGTGATCTCATCAGTGGCTCAAGAATCTCAGAAAATAAAAAGTTCAGCTTCAACGTAGAAGCTTATAAAAGTGACAACTTAATTTACTTGTCAGGCTCAATTACCATATGAAAGGGAAATAAGTGGGGCACAAAAGAGATACAAAGTCTAAAACTGAAGGACCATGGAAAATTTAATTCTCGAAAAAATTTAAAACTGATACACCTTGGATGTAGCAGTTATGGATTTTTTTTACTCTTTATCTTTTTGCCCCTTTTTAAAACCTGCTCGATTGCTGAATTATAAAAAATCACCTGAAACAGTGCAATAACTCCAAACTTCTGTCAATGATTTTGAAATCACAGTTTTAATTTAAAATAAAATGACACCTTCAAAACAACACAAAAATAAAAATTTCAGGCTAAAAGAGGGTGGAGAAATATTTTAAATTCGAAACAGATATTATGAAATGCATGAGAAATCTTCAACACAGAAATTATGCGCATATCATTTCTGATTACACAAAGGCCTTTTGGGTGTAGGGACAAGTGTGAAGGGAAACCAGACAACAAAAACATTCTCCCTGAGGTTATAAGCGTGGGTATGCTTTCTGTTTTGCCAAAACAAGTGCACATATTTTGAATTAAGAGCTGGTAAATAAAATCAGGAGCTCCAAATCTCTGTGTACTTTGCGGAAAATTTGAAGCACGAGTAGAACGTTTGACTTGCATAAAATTACGAAGATGAGCTGAGTATGGAATATATCTGCTGTGTTATGAGTAGTAAATTAAAACCAACTATTGATGTTTTAAATCCGATTAAAAGAAGCTAGCAAAAAACAACACCCAAAGTGCAATATTTCATTGTGATTAAGCATTACTCGTGATTACCCAAGTTGAAATTGGCACCAGTGAAACTTACAACCTTATATTTCATCAATTATTTGCAAGGACAAAACAGACGATTTTAATAGATAAAAATTGTACCTGTATGTGGTCGTTGCTACGATCTCTTGCATGAGCCGATCGCGGCATTTCTCCGCTCCACTGAGGCATCTGGTGGGACTGTACAACAGAGCGATGTGATTTATCAAGCCGATTTCGCGATCGCTGTCCAATTTATCGAGCCGTTTGAAACGATCGTCCTCGCTCAACGCCTCTTTTATTACCCGTATGTCTTCGGGAGCGATCGAGGGTCGCGTATTGGGTTCAAGTTTTGAAAACAACCCTGCTGATTCGAATAACAACTCTTGAAAATCGGCTTTGGCTTTCTCAGTAATGTCACGACGGTAGGTGTCAAAAATTTTTGTTTTGTCTGAGTCGTTCAAGTACTGAAAACTTTCCTCGTTTTCCAACAGCACAGCCGCTTCTATCCACGTTGTGCCTGGTCGAATTTGCGGCGTCAACTCCAGTAGTTTACGAAATTCGTTCATCATACGGAGCCGTTTTTCCGCAGCTTTTAACTTTTCCGCATGGTTCTGAAACACTTTCTCTGCTCGTGGGAGAGACAAAATGTCAAAAGGAACACGTGGATCGTCGTTGAGTAGATGATCGCTCTCATTCCAAGCTGTCTCCTCCGGCAAAACTATCATCCACTTATCAAACTGTTTGTGATTTCGAATCGCCTTTTGGCAATTTTGCCAGTTCCAGTGGCATAGTTCCATCGAAGATGCACTAGGTATAAGCTCATCTAATGCACTTGGAAGTCTAGACAAATACCCATTCAACTTCCTTTCTTCAAATTCTTTCCTTAACTTTCTGATGTGCTTATTAAAAAGTTTCTTGCAAGCTTCCAGCCCGGAAAGATCGCGGTGAATTTGAAATTCCCTTTCATTTTCCACTAACTTTTTCGTGTTTTTCCATATCACACGAAAGTCGGTAACTGTTCTATCAATAAGCCTTTGAAAATCCTGAACGGCTTTCTCTAATAATTCTCGTTGAGTTCTTTGCGCCTCTGTGAAAGGGATAACTTTAGAACGCACCCGTCCGCGTTCGATGAGCTGCGCCAAAGCTAAAAACGCTAAGTCCACATTGACATTTTCGTGAGCTGAAGTTTCGATGATCGGGACATTCAACTTTTTAGACTGAGCAAAACGATGAACCTCCTGTAGTAAATTAAGCTGTGTGTCGTCGCATTTTGTTGCCACAAGCACAAACGGTTTTTTACTTTTCTGCACATAAGTGAGAATAGAAGACAACAAGCGCTCTTGTTGCTCTTCGAGTCGTTTCGACTGCGTAGCTTCGGCGTCGTAAACGACAAGAAAACCATCGATAGTAATCTTTCCCCCGGGTAGAATGATTTGCTCGTAGTCGCTCTGTAAAGCTACTTGATCCCGGCTGATATACATCAACTTTTCAGCGGAAGAGAGCTTTGAAATGGCACACCGTTTTGGGTATGGTGTAAGCTGTCCTCCCCGTGATAACGGCATAAGAGTAGCATCGTCGATAAATTCGGTCTGCTCTATGACATGAACGGCAAATTCACTTCCATCTTCTGCTGTCTTAGTTGAATATCCCCAGTACAAAAACTGATCGTTGTTCAACACTCGTCCGCCAAAATCAGAGGAACTAAATACCGAAGAATGTTCTGTGATATATTCGTCGGCCAACGGTCGAACAAAGCGGTTACACAAACACGACTTTCCCACTCCAAAAAAAGCTTGATCTCTGTCTAAGCCAGACAAACCAACAACAGCGACGTTTACACTTCGTGGTTCGTTCCCCTTCTTGGACATGGCGAGGCCTTCTAGCCGGCCAAAGATGCGAACGATGTACAGCGCGACCTCTATCGCTAACAATTCGCCGCCATTTTTGATTTTTGTGTTTGATAATGATAAAAGTCACGTGACCAATGTTGTAATGTGAGGCCTGTTGCAAAAAATATCGCTGAGCTAAGTGGAGTCATATTTCCTATTGACAGGCGATTGAAATACCCTTGGGCAAATCTCGTCAATGAGTCATTCACGTAGGACAAAAAAACCCCAGTGATTGCTAGACAACCCACTTAGTGCCACTCGCTCGTCAAAGAACCGTTTTGAATTTTCCGGAAGTTTACAAACATGGCGGCACACCATGTTTTGGGTGAGAGTTGTAACGCCGGCGAACGCGGTATTCTTTGCAAAGGCGTGTGTTTTTTCTAGAGAAAAAAAAGTGGCTTTGACCTTTAGATCTGTGTTCCACTCTATGTCTCTGAACTTTGTGTTTGATTAATTAAGATTCCGTACGTTTTTCTATAGATTAGGATCGAATTAATCAAATTTTAAATTCCAATATACTTGAACTGTTGTGTTGTGCAGTAAGGCAATTGTTCGTCCCTTATCAGTTTTGGGGTTTCAATGGATGGTTGATTTCCTTGCAGTTATATTGCAAGGACAACGGACCAAATTTTCGGAATATTGCTCCTTCATAATCATAAGATCAAATCACAAATTTACCTTGACTACCAAAAAACAAGATACCGTGAAAACGTAGACAAGTGGCAGCTAAAATCCCCAAGAAAGTTGAACAGATCAGATTAGGTCCCCAGTCTAATATATACTCATGATTAATATTAACGCTATCAAAATGCACCATTTTAAAACACAAGGGATCTGTTGCTCTTCTGGGCGCTGATGTAATAGTTATAGTCATTTTCGGAAGGATATTTTCAATGTCATTCATGTCTGTGAGATTCCATGACCCCTGGATATATCAATAACTCGTTTCTTTGAGGAGACTATTTTAGTTAATTGCGATCGTTTTAAATTGATGATTGATATCAATTCATACAACGGCAGTCTGATGAATGACAAAATGGTATATGATAGGGCAATTTGAGTAAATCGTTGCGCTCTGCCTCTCTAAACACGAACTGAAAATTTTTGAGGTGGCCAGAGCTTTGCTCTGATCATTTAAGCCCTCTAAGGGAAAAAATGGCCTTTTTCAGGTACAATGGGTTTTTTTTTATAAAACATAAACTGTTCTTTAGAGTCAAACGTTATATCTATGCAAGTCGATCACTGGAGGTGAGAGAGTGCTGTTTGGTATTCATGGTATTTGGCTCACTTACACCTGTATACCAAAACCGGTTTTTTTTTTAATTTTTTCGCAGAGAGTGCTGGTTTTGCTCCTAGTAATAACTGTGTTCTTGCATATATCACATATCTGTCAGTGATCGCTGATCTCGTGGTAATCATGATTAATGCAGAGGTTGCTCATGGCTAAACTTTTCAGTTTTAATAGCACTCGCATGTATTTGAACTAACTGTATTTTGACTCGATAAAACAGGAAACAATACGGGGGCTGGAGTTTTTCCGGTAGACCCGAAGCTAATTCCCTCAACTCTGCTCTTTGCATTGTTTTTATGCTTAGCGATGCATTAAACTGATAAGCTTGTTATTTCCGGATGGTAACAATACAAATTATTGTTTCATTATAAGTTTAATGAATAGAAACAGTTATGTTAGACACAGAGGGGCCGATCTGGTGCCTCGTTATGCCTCTACGGAAGGATCCATGGGGAAAAAAAGGAAGCTTTAAATGATACCCTTATTTTTTTGTCTCAGAATAGAAACTTCGGAACTCCTCCAAAGTGTTCTTTAATTTCCTGACAAGAAAAATATCCTATTGGTATCCGGAGAATCAGTTAAATCCGCATTTTATAAAATTGCTCCGATCTAATTGTCCATTTTCTTTTACGGTTTCAATTAAAAGAAAAATCATAGCATGTATGTCCAATTTGAGCTTTCGAAAGAATACTCGTTCTATGGCATTTTTTCACTCTAAAAGCCTCAAAACAAAAGAAAAAAGTTCTCTGCTTTTATGCCTGATGTAATTCTTCTCTTTCGTTCAGTTTTTGTTCATATTCTCCCATTAAAGTTTTCTGTCTGAATTTCCCATTGCTAACCAGAAAGTTGACTAAGCCACCTTTTTCCAGCCAACCTTTAACCGGCGAAAATCCCCGAACTATGGAAGAGAAAGATAGTGCGGAAACTCTATGCATTCTGATCTTCAAGTATATTTAATACGTACTTTTAGAACAAACTATGCTCAATCCCTTCTCCTTTGACGCAGGGCACTTCCACGCCCTCTGAAAGAAAGAACCGGAAGTTGATGACTTGATAACCCCGAGATAAGTCGGTTATCCACCTGTCAGACCGGATATCTTCGTGATAAGAAACACAATGATCATGCGAATGAAGGGTACTAGTGCCTTGATAATCGCGTACCACTGGGACCTTTTTAAGGATTTCATCTCTAAAAAATGCAAGGTGAAATTGTTTGAGATCTAGATTTTATACGCCATGCAATATTCCAAAGTAAAAACAACATCCCTGCAAGCAATTTCGCTCTAACCGTGATCAATGTCAAGCTTTTAGGGTTCCTGTGCCTTATTTGTATATAATCTAATTTTGATCCTAACATTTTATTCCGACTTTGTAAGTAAGTATATAAGTATGGATATTAATTAGTCTTGGACATATTTAACGTAATTTTAATTTCAGCTTATTTTCTCCTTTATTAAAGAATTTAATATTATTTGCATTTACTTTTGTCGAGCGGTTTGCCTCGGGAGACTGGGCAACCACTCCTCAAATAAAGCCATCTTCATATCTTATCTCATCGAATCTAAGGTTAGCCAGTATTTCTACCATAAATAGATATATCTCGTTTCTTGTTATTTTTTTTGATAATATTATTTAGCACTTGATGGTGGCTCGATTTTCCCTTTGTATACATTGGCATACATTGGCAACATTGGCATACATTGGCATACATTGGTATACATTGGTCATGTATACCAAGAAGACATAAACATATACATGATTTTCCTGTATTCATAGTAGAATATAAACTCCTGCGTATACTTTTCGCTCGACCTCAGTGGAGCCATCACCAGCTAACTTGCAGTTTACAAGTATTAGAGTGTCACATCACTCCTGTATTTTCTCCCAATGCACATTTTGAGGTTGCGTACGCCGCAGTGAGCTTGTTCTAACGAGCGACCGGCAAATTCGCCCAATTTACTCGCACATCCACCCATATAACGTGGAGATATGATAACGAACGACCGCAGGTCACGTCAGTAAAGCATAGAAGGAGTCACCGCCCGCGCAAGAATGTGCTGGAACAACGTCTTAATTTCTGAAAAGCATTTAAAAAAACCCTCCCGCAGTCAAATGGACATAAATTTCATTCCCTAGTCATCACTCAATGTTTCATAAACATGATCCACATGAAGATAGATAATGCCTCTGGAAACGCTTTAAAAGTGTTGTCAACGTCTATACCAGGCCCTCGTTGACCATAGCTGGCCTAAAGTTTTCTCAATATCGCTGCGTGACTCGTGGGATGGTCGTCTAGCAGTTATCGGAGAATATTTGATAGCGGTTAGATCTTTCTCATGCGCCATACAGCGATAATTATAAATGTAATTAACTAGGTCTGTACGACCTGTATCGGGGCCAAATCTGGGGAGCGACGTGTCGCACTTTAAAGTCGGAATTTTTCTCACCGGCCGCTTGAAAGCTACCCCGGAAAAAATGTTAAACGTGATCCTCTGATTTGCAAAACAGGTTAATTTTTCCTCCGTACATCAACCCTTTACGCGATTTTCTTCAGGACTGTGCACGTTAGTGGCAAACTCTCTGAGAAAAAGGTTTGCCAAAGTGCCTGCGTGTTTTTGATTCGTTTCAGCCGAAACAGCGTGACTGTATGTTTTCATAATGGATGAAATATGACATCACTTCTGCAGACACCCTCAGACATGAGATCAGTTCCGGAAACTTATCGGGTCAGGTCAGTATTTGTTTCTGAAGTGTTTGGAATTCGGAAACAGTTCAAATCCTAATAACTACTCAAGACATATGAGAATATCTCAGTTTATATTGGGGTTAATCCTGTAATGGTGTAAGATTGTTTGCGCAATATGATTGCGTAATCTTCAAATTCGCGGCTCAATTACGCAGTTCGGCCAGAATGATGCGCGCTAACAGTTCAGTCCAGCTTCATTGCGATGCTGACCTTTTTAGAAACAATATCTGGAAGGAAAACTTACACTTTGTTGATATTACGTTAACTGTCGTTTGATAAATTTTTAGTTATATTGGTGATTACAACTGATTTGATGGCTATCTACTGTAGACAAAGCAAGCATGCCTCTCTTATCCAGTCTGCCTCAAACGCTGAAATTGGCAATTCAAAATCAGCAAGATTCAGTTTTCCATTTCCTTCATTGTCCCACATGAGTCGTGGTCTTATTCCAAAAATTGTTTGTTGCGTGCAACAGAAAGGATGTTACAATATTACAACCGGATTGTCGCTCTTAAAATTAAATCCGTTTTTCGTTTTATGCCTTTTCAAGAACCTACTCAACTTTCTCATAATTCCCCAATAGATTGGTTCTCAGGGACATTGTCATTTATTAGCTGAATATCATCGCTGTCAAGAGCTCTTGACATCACGTATTCGGGTCTAAAAGGGAATGAAAACTCTCGTTTTTTGACGTATGCAAAATACCTCCAGTCCTCAAACGTTGATTTATATTCTCGGAAGGGGCGAGATGAATTGCCCGGCAGCCACAATTTTGGGCATATTACTATAGTCAGAACATCGAGCATGATGTCGACATAAAACCACACTTCGTGAAAACTCCCATGATGCTGCAGTTCAACAAAAGATAAATTCTGTAGCCTGAGTACTGTCAACAGTAACTCTGCTTTTAATTTCTTGCTCGCACTTGAGGAATTTGATCCATTTCAATGTTGTGTTCTGAACTTCGGTAAGCCTTTTATGCTCAGCAAGTTTTAACTGTTCGTTGTGAGAATAGAAGTGGAAGTTAGCTCTTAAAAGTTACCATTTTGATTGTGCATAATGTAAAATTTTAAAATACTTTCGGGCATAATGCCATGTTTTCTGGGGTGACGCTCAAAGGCATAATTCGTCTGACCCTAGTCCTCGGTGCACAAATGTCAGATGTGACATGATGAAAATAATTGTCCAAGAAAAAAAAGACGGATATAATGAGCAATAACCATGAAACTTAAAGCAATAAATTTCACGAAAGACTAAGAAAGTGTCTTGCAAAGTCTTGCGAAAAGCGCTGCAAAGAAAGTACAGCGGCAATCTTTCGTTCTAATCACTTTCCACTTTTTTGTGAATTTTGTTTAAGTTTGGACGTGATGTGTATTAGAAGTTTCTTGATCTGGTAAAGACCTTCTAGCAAAACAAGATTAACTGCTGAAAAACTGCCTGGGGGTGCTTCTGGAAAATTCGGGATGAGCATGTGCGGGATGTATCTCGAGGCCCTTCAATGACCTAAGAAAGTGTTTTCCCACTGAATTTCTCTCTCACACCTTAATAAAACCGAAAAAAAGAAGAAAGAAAACCGCGTTCACTGAGAAACATTATACGATCAAGAGATAATAAAGTCGGTAATTATAAACTCTTGACCCGATTAAAAACACAGAGAGTGAGTGAGAAGATCTTGACCACAATAAGAGAAAAATAATTGTAAACATGTGTTCTGAGTTTGCGACCAAAAGGGATGAAACTTAATGACAACTAGCTCTGTATACTGCAGAGACAAGTACCCTTCACCCTCCCTCGTAAACTCAATTGAAAGAGTTACTAGAACCGTTAGAGTGCACTAAGCTCTGTCAAACCTCCCCGGGCCAAACTTTTCGTGGGGACCAAACGTCGAGAACAGTCGAAAGAGGAACAGGTCTCCTTTACAGATCGGTTTTTCTTCAAAATTTACAAGCTTCAGTAATTATTTACATCGTTAAGTTTAATATTGTCTTTCTGAGCCCTTTGTTACTTTCCTTATAACTTATGGTTATCACCGCATACGTATAGTCTTCATTCATTTCCTATCTATTTTCTTCATTCATTTCCTATCAACCTTGTTTTAACAATTTGCAGATATAACCAAATTCAAACGTAGAAAGCAATTTTCCAGTTCTGACAAAAGACCTCATTTGACTTTCCGACTTTCACCGGCCAATATCAAAGAAATCTAGAAACTCTGAGAGACCGTCACGCAGTCGGCGCAATCACAAGATTTTGCGTCGCTTGGCGACACATCAATGACGTTGAGCACTACGTGCAATTATTTCGATGTTCTTGGGGGTAGTCACTTTCCCCAAAAAACTTTTGAAAATATTGTTCATTTATTGCGTTGTTTTGTCTTCCCTTTCCATTTCAGTTGATCCAGAATGTCCTCTGTCACTCTCCTTCCCTTTTCGATTACGTCCTTAGGAATGATCTTCACCACGGCTTCAACCTGGAAAAGGGAAAAGTATACTGTGGTTTAAGCGGACAATACCCATCCGCATTATCATTCTGGCAACGATTCCATGAGAAGTCATGTCAATCATAATATTTATTCTCCGGCTGACGTCCCGGGCGGTTTACAAAGGGATCCTTTGAGTGTTGTGATCAACTCAAGTTGACCAACTGGGTGGGCATAAGAGACTTATCTTGTCCGCTCAGGAAAACCAACAGATTAGCCCCTTTAATGGGCCATTTCCCCTCTCTTGGTGTACACCAAAGTCCAATATTTACGCTTTAAACAATCATTATCACATCGAAGAACACACTAGTCTTAAGATTTACTTTCTGTAACCAGAAGTTTCCTGTGGATAAAAGTTACGTCATCGACGTCCAGTCTTCCAAATAGCGCTATATTAACACCATAATTTGTATATCTTTTACCTGTTTTTGCGCAGATAAATTCTCGAAATTTCTCGGTAATTTACGTGCATCTATTTCTCCAGCTTTGTAAATCTCCTCAAGCACTAATCTAATTTTAAAAAAAATCGAAAAATAAATAAACAAACTTATTTAAAGCCCAAGTTTTAAGTCCAGAGTCCAAAGGCCTGCCAGACGAGAAAGCAAAATTGTCGTTAAGTGTCTAAAGTCCGACTTAATGTTCGGGTGGGGGGCTTCTTGTGCAAATTCCTAACCATTCTCTGTGGTCTTAATAAAGTTGCATATCAGTTTGCGTGTTACATCGGAAGACTTGAAATATCGCTTGCTCAGCTAGCCTAGGATTTAAAAAGGAGGGAAGCGTCTTATCTGCTTAACTCTATTGTGATCGGGTTTGTTTGTTTACACGAGCACAGCTAAAAATTGATGGTAAGTTTCCGAAGAGGAAAAAAGAAAACACCTGTAAGAGAAAAAACGTCTAAAACATTCTTATTTTTAAACCAATAAAAAGAAACTTCGCTTTGAACGAACACAGCGCAAATGGGGCCACAGATATCGCTCGTTGGAAAGGCGATAGGACTAACAAATAGATTCTATGCTGCCGTGAGTCTGTTCAATTCAGTAATAGATCACAGATGATGAAAAAATGCGGTAAGAACAAAAAGAGGCACACGATGCACAGCCGCGTGTGTCACTGATGTTTTTACCACATTTTGGGGTCTTCTGTGATCTATTATTGTACAGACCCTCGGAAACACTTGATCTGTTAGTTTTAAAAGGCTAAAAAAAATATATATTGTTAACGGTGACGTCATGTACGCGTCTGTCTCCCAATAGATCATCAGTGAGAACCACTCAAACTGCGTGTATAATTCAATTTATCATATAAAACGGAATATTTTTATAGAGATTACTTCGAAGCAATAGAAAAGTTTTTACCACACCAAATGATAAAGTTACAAACGAAGAAGAACTTAGCAGTGCCTTAAGTTTAGAAAGACAACACAGTCGAATGCTCAGTACATTGGAGTGAATGTCTGGTGGTCAAGGTTTTCGAATGCCACCGATGACAACTATCTGGACATGTTAAGGTCGGCGTTGTGGCTAAATGCCACATAAATTGCGGATACAAGAAACCCGTGTTTAGATCGAGTGGGAGGTTTGAAGCATTATACTCCCAAACAGCTCATGTTCCCAAAATTGAGCTAAGCTCTGATAAACGGTTATCTGGCTCATATGACGACTTCACCTTTTAACTGAGTGTATCACAAATATCTTATATTGATGGCTTACTTGTAATTTTGTGAATTCATAACCTGGCTGCTGATGGCCATTGTTTCAACAGGGTTATACGCCTGCAAAACAAAAATAATGAATTTGCAGCAACAACGATAAAAATACATATGGTTATGCTTCAAGGCACACAAGATTTTTTTTCAACAATGGACAGTTTTCTTCTCTGTATGTTTTGTTTTCTCCTGTTTTCTTTCGTTTCCATTGTCTTGGGGATTTGGTTTTGTTACTTTGTTTCATTTGTTGGTTTTATTCTGTAAACAGAATTATGACGTGTTATTGTTTTGTTTACCTGGTGAAACCAGCCAGTTGGAATAATTAATAAATCTCCAGCCTGTTGAGTAAAAGAAATCGCTTGTGCTCTGCGGAACTTTGGATACTGTTTATAGTCAGGGTTAAAAGCATCTATTGGGCTACAAAAAAATTAATAAAATAAAGTAAAATATTCAGTATACAGAGTTTGAAATATGAAAATGGTTTAATTAAGCCTCAATATGTTTTTTGTCAATCAAATTGTTAACTGCATCATGTCACCCATCATTTGGTAACAAACTAATAATCTAAACTACAAAAGAAACAAAAATCTCAAACGTGATGGGACAATAGGAATCTAACATAAGCATTAGCAAGACAGTAAACATACCATTCTTATAGATGGACAGTTCACATGTCATACATCATACATAAAAACTTTTTATGTGTATCTGATCAGATACAAAACAAGTTTTCAAAAAATATGTCAAAATAATATCATTTTTTTAAAAGGAGTTGGGGTAGTTGTGGAGAACAGCTTCTTGATGATAATATTGTTACCAAAAGATTAAAGACTGTCGGCTGTCTGTTGGCTGACTGTAATGGCCAACAGATGAGCTTAAAACTGTTGGCTGAAAGTCAGTCCTCTGTGGGCCAACAGTTGCCTAACAGTCTGCCAACAGTCTGCCAACAGACAGCCCAAAGGTTTGTTCCAAGGAGTTGTTCTATAAGTTACCTGTTTGTGTCATTCAAGATAGTTTGGAGCCATACTTCCAAATAAGGCCACTTCACTGATGCCTGATTTTCATTCTGATAGTGACTATAGAATGAATTGACAACCACTTGCTCCCATTACCATTAAGACCAAATACGAAAACTAAACATCATGCACATCAAATGTTAGGAACTACATATGTAATAATGTAATGTTATTTCATTTTTTTGTAGATTTTACCTGTTGTATTTCAAACAATCCAGTGGAAACCCACATCTCTGATTTTTTCTGACATATAATAAATGATCTTGGCCAGGAGGAAAAAGCTGCAAGGAAGATGAAACATTGAAAGAAAGTTAAAGTCACAACAGTGTCTAAGAAAAACTCATAGCCAATCATTAGACAGAAAGCATCTGTACCTTCCACATTTTCTTTCCTCTCAAAACAGCATTTGTACCAGTCCAGTTGTAAGGATCTAAATAAAAACCAAACATGTTTTTTTAGGTTTTTACGGTTGGGAAAGTTGACTTCTGTGAAAACAATGAATCAAGTTCACTGATTCATGATCTATTGGCCTGCTACAAATAGCAAAATTAAAGTAATTAAAGCAATCAAGCAAAAATTCATGAGGCATCAAAATCTTGTGATATGAGTTTGTACATGTTGCTAAGGTAATTAGAACCTCTCAAAAGTACCTTTGGTCATCTGTCATCTTAAATTAAAAGCCTTACTGAGTTGTCATTTGGAGCCAGAAGGAAATGGAAACCCACTAGCTATCAGACCAATTTGCCCCGGTACTTTATTTAAAGACAGAAAGGAAGTATTTTTGAAGCAGTTCTAGAATCAACATCTGGCAAAAAAGTTAATCAAACATGTCCCAGAATGCTGGAAAACAAGGTTAATAGAGTATGTCCCCCAGACCCCCTTAATAGGGCATGTTGCTAATGCAACATGCCATGTGTGCTGAGCAAATACAATTCAATTCAGCCACCAACTCTGTTCAGATTCTACATCTATAACCTACATCTCCAAGTGAAAACCCTACCACATATTACATCAACACATATTGGACAAACATCAGTTATAGAGACTCTCCATGGTGGCCAATTCATACAGTTCACCCAGATGATTAAACCAAATCATCATATAATGTAACCTTGGTCAACCTAAGCAAATTGCCAAGCTTGAAAAAATGTTGATAACTATTGTTACCCTTCACAGCAATGACGAAAAAAATGAAATTAAAAATAACAAAACAGTATTATAATAACTTTGTACCTATGTGAAGAGACGACCTTGAGTGGGCTGTACCCCAGAGGAGCATAGCATTCCATGGTCGAATCTCTTTTGGTAACAACTGGAAGAAGTCTTCCCTCAAATACACCTAGTAAAGGTGTTTGAAAATAAGAGATTCTTATAACATTTGGCATCACCCACAAATTACTTACTGCACTCATGACTGTTCAGTCTAAAATAGTAGGCAGATGGCTCTTTTAAAGGCCTGGAAGGCAAGGGGCTGGGGGCATGATCTCTTGGAAACTTTAAAATTCTTAACTTTTGCAAATCTGTTTTCCTGCATTTAAAGGTCTACATAATGTTTTATTGTTTTCCAAGAAGTCGACCAATTTGAACAATTCTGAAGTAAATTATGTTTATGTCAGTACAATGGCATAATAATTCAACCACCTTACATTCACTAAATAAAAGATGAAATTTAAGATATTTGGCTTATGGCTGGCACATAAAATTTAATACAAAGATGGCTGTAACAATTTAAGCCCACACTGTCAATTAACATTTACATAGAACTATATATCAATAAGCAAGTTCAAACTCATGTATACTAAATGTACCTGTTTATCCTAGGGGGACCCAGGGGCTTTAAATGAATTTAAAATCAGGGTGAGAGAAATAGACCCTTAACCCCCGGGTCTCTGAGGATGTTTCCTGTTCTGAGACACTAAAACTACTCACTGGCTGCCCCACGTCTTCTCTAAGTTCTGGATTCATTTCAATAAACAGTTCATCTTCCAGGTAAGTCCACAACTCAGGTTGGCCCTCATGTACATGTTCAGCAAAATTCTTCAGGGGTACTGCAAATCCCTGGGCTTTGTTCAGAGGACCCTAGAAGGAACATTCAGAGTAAATAATTCAGTATCAGTTTTGTTTTCATAATTGTATGCAAGTGGGTGGAATTAATTTTACTAAATCCTGGTGCAGCAGCAGGTTGAATTTTTCTCACCCAGCCATGTACACAGGTTTTTTCCAAAAAAGACCAAAATCCAGGAAAATGGCTAAAATTACACATGTATTTACTGTGGAAGACATTGAGGAGATTTAAAGGGAGTGGCTGTGCTATAAAATAAACCATTAACCACCATTCAGAGGTAGCCAAGTGGTTTGCATATTGGACCTTAGAGGGAAACATCAAACTGGTAAGGGTTGTAGCATACCTTCCAGGAGATGTCCACATACATCTTGTGACTACTGAGTGGCATAGAAACCAAGCTGTAAGATCTAAACTTCATTGGGTCTAATTTTGCACATATGCACGAGTTACAATATTTTTGGCATGTACCTCCTAACCTCAGTGGCTTTCATTGATACTCTCTTGTCTCCGTAGTTTCTCACAAGGAATGATTTTGTCCAGTTCATTGCTTTCCAATTTTTCAAGATATCAGTAATCACAACTGGTCTGAAAGTGAAACAAAAAATAGATGAATAACACTACATCAAGTCAACAAGAGTCATAGTGATTGACATGGAGGGGGGGGGGGGTGAGTAGCCCCTAAGATCTTTTAAATCTGAAAATTGTAAGTATGCAAAAGGGATCCAAACCTCACTCTTTTGTTGAGTCTTAACCCTTTGACCCCACTGAGTGACTAGCATGTAACTTCTCCTAAAAATATCACCCTGAATCACATATTAAGGTCATGAGAATAACGCAAATGATCACCAACTAAAAGAGCTCTTGATTGTGAAAAAAATTCTCCTTGTCAGCATGTTAGGAAATGTTTGAGAGCAATATGGAGAATATGCATTCTTTTGTTAGAGTGAAAAGGGTTAAGGGCTGCTTGGCCCAGGGAAAGCAGGCACTGATTACAAGATGTGACTTGTTACTCCACCCTGGTTAGGATATTAGTTGATAACAGCTACATGCACACTCCTGGAATTCATGAGTTAGTTTCCCTGACATCTTGCTGGTACCCATTTTCACTACTGGTAGAAGGAGACATTGTATTTTGCCAAAGAACACAGCCCAATGGGTCAGCTACAGGTTGGACCTGGCCTGCAAGATCCTGAGTTCAGTATCCCTAACACTAGGTCACCACTTCTCTCCCATACCCCCTGCCCTTCCCCCCCCCCCCTTAAAAAGAAAAAACTGATGGAAAGAATCACAATGCCATACAACCTGAGTTGTCCCCCCATTCTGTTCATTACACCTCGATTTCGTGTCATAGAAAAATATTGCGAACGTCAGGTTAAGAGTAAAGTTGCTTACTAATAGTCAAGTTTTGGACGCAAATTTTTTCCATCTAATTTGCACTAGTCAAACGAGGAATACCTTTTCGCGTCATAACAACGAATAAACTCCGCTAGAGTTAGATTTGAACGGTGATCAACTGTGGAGTTGTCCATAACTGAACACGGAACTTCCGCATCTCGCTTTGGAGTTCCAGAGAGGTCTGCCAAGATGGAGCTCCAAGTGCGTGGGAAAAATTTACTATTGTTATCAAAATACAGCGAGATGATTCCAGTTAACATCAGAAAAGTAAAAATAAAACATCTCCAAAGCCACCGATTTCGAAGATTTTGGCTGGTTTTCCCAAGTGTTGGCGATAAGTCAGCATTCAAAGTTTTAGACGAATTGTCAAACTTAGACTCTTTGAAATAGGTCGACGGGGAAGACTTTTTTCTCTCCCGTTGTCGAGTAGATGAACTTTTAGCCATCATGTACAACAAAACAAATCTCTAGCCACTGCATTCTTCCGTTCGTTCCCCTCCAGAGTAAATCTCAATTAATATTTTCTTGAGACATTGAAGCGATGAATTCTCTTTCTTACTACAGCATATTGATTCAAAACCTATCAACACTGGAACCTAGTCATGTGACTACAACAAACATTTGTGATTGGCTAAATTCTTTTCCATAATAAATCTATTTTTTCGCGCTTATTTTCAAACATGGCGGCTTGAAGAAGCAGAGAGAGATTCGCCACATTGACATAAGGAGATAGTTTGTGGATGAATTCTCCTCGACGACATGCAAAGATCTTCTCGTATGCAACGTGAACTGAGCATTCTAACAAAAGAGCCACCGCCTGGAATCTCTTGCTGGGCGATTGATGGTCAAATTGACAAACTTCAAGCAGGTTTTTGAGTTTAAGTCCTTCTCACTAATGCACAATAATCTCCCACGCCATCAAAGTGTATACAATCCTGAAAACTTGACGCAAATGTAAATTTCGTGCGAAAAAGTTGTCATATGTTTTATCTTTCAGAAATTTTAGGTTCAAAAGACACCCCTTATAATGGAGGCTGTTTTAGGCTGGAAATACAAATTCCCGAGAGGTTTGTTTGAAATGGTAGTATTTCCGTAGTTCAAATAGGGTCCTAATCAGAAGGGGGTCCAAGCACCACTGTACACAACTTTCAGTACCCACCTATCTTCAAATAGGTGGAAAGTAATGGAATTCTCTATCAGTTTTGACCCTTTTCACGTTAGGATTGGTATTAATGTCCATCACACTGCTTTCTTTACAATGGTGATCATTTCCTTTATACTCGTGCCCTTTACATTAATTCAGGGGTGATACTGTCTGGAGAAATTATACACCAATCACTTAAAGGGGTTAAAGGGAATTAACTGTTTGCCTGGCTACTATGTTAAGGATGCCCTAGCAGTTAGAAATATAACAAAACCTTCTTGTGAAACATAACTTTTCCTGATTTTCCCATATTCAAAGTTATTTCATCAGGCAAGTTAAGACTACATACTTTGTGGCTAATTCTACCACAGTGTAAAGGATTTCATTTTATGATGATAATTAATTGAACTTCATTATCTACAGGTATCCATTTCATCCTCCTAAAGTTCGCTTTGTCACAAAGATCTATCATCCCAATATTGATGGAAGTGGTCGGATCTGTCTTGATACACTTCAGATGCCTCCGAAGGTGACTGTGTAATAATGATAGATTTATCTTAACCATGGTAATATCAGTTTAACTGTACCACTGAAGCTTCCATACAGAATGTGCAGATTGTGAATCTGAAACCATAGAGTTTTCATTTTCTCCATAACTAGGAAGTCACTGACACTGACTGCATTTTTAGACCCAAAAAACTTACATAGCCCTTCTAAAATTACCTTACAATGGCTGCTCACCTGTGAGGTAAATTAGTCTTATTTCTCTCTTTTCCATTTCTTTAGTTATACCACTGAATTATGAAAAATCACATTAAACTTTGAGATCCACTGTTATGTAGAGCTTTCAACATATGAGTGTTTTACAGAGCTTGCATTTTCATTATTTTCCTTTTTTCATGTTTTTCAGGGAGCTTGGAAACCAGCATGGAACATTTCCACTGTGCTGACATCAATCCAGCTTCTTATGGCAGAACCAAACTCTGATGATCCTCTTGTATCAGAAATTGTAATGAATATTGCTAAATACACAATATTTAATCAATATTCTAATTACATAATTGTGCACATAATTTAAAATGGCTGTTTTTGTTCACTTTTTCAGTCTGATGAGTATAAATACAACAGACCACAGTTTATTAAAAAAGCAGAGGAATGGACCCAGAAATTTGCAGCTGGTCAGAAAGTATCAGCTGCATCAGTTAAGGTGCTTATTAACTTTCAATAACATGTTCACAATGCCAATAGGACCAGGTAGGACCCCACTTGGTTTTCAGTCATACAAGTGATCAACAAAATTGGATGATTGCAAAGCTGAAGTCTTATATAATGATAATCATGGGTATTTGGCTATTGACTGAATAGGTTATTAGGAAGTCATGCTAGCAATTAATTATAACACTTAAAATTTATGAAAAAAAATATATACATTTATATCTTTTTATGAAAAGAAGGGCTTGTACTGTAATTCCAATCTTTTGTTACTTCATCATTACTCTTTGACAAAAGCAGAATCTAAAGAAGAAAGGGAGATGAATTGCACCTTTCCTTCAATAATATTATCCTGTCCACTCACAGGAGCAACCAATGAGTGATTTCTGTCAGAGCGTAATATCAATACTTTGCTGATCAGACAAATAGTGACGGTAGAGAGAAAAGCTTACTATGTCTGGCAGAGTCACAGTGAGAAAAATTAATGTAGAGATCCTGGAGGTGAAAGGAACATGATTATTGATGATTCGGCAGCTGTTTTTTAATGTAACAAGTCACTCCTCAGATGGAACACTCGGCATGACTTAATTTTTGTAGAAAAAAATTGGTGGGAGTTTCTTGGGGCTAATTATTGTTTGTGTAATTCACTTTTTTGGTTTCTTTTTTTAGATCTATGTACTTCTTTTAGTGTGCAAGATCCTAAATAAACACCTACCTTGATGAATCATTATTGTGACTAACTTAATCAAAATTTCCCTGAAAATACTGTTTTATTAACAGGATTCACTGTCTGGGGCAAACAAAGAAGCTGAGGACAACAGCGACTCAGAGGGCGACACCAGTGATGAGGATGAAAATGAAAACAAGCCTCCTACCCACACCACCCAGGGTGTTAAGAGAGCAGCACCTGCCCAACTCTCTGGAAAAACCAAGACACTCAGACCAATTAATTATTAGACAGGCTTGGAAAGGAACTGGAATTGAAATGAATGTTTTGCAAAATTATCAATGAAAAGGGTTGTGCACCTTTGTTTTGTAAGCTCTTTATAATGCATGATTAGATTATAAATAAAGAATGTTGCAGAATGCTATACAATATATTTATAACTGTTTGAATGAGATGAAAATAGCATTGATAGTGTTGCTGAAGTAGTGAGAATGTACAGTAATTAGCTATTAAAGGTGTCTTTAGATGGAAGTACACTTGACTTACATCAGTCTTTGCCAGCTAAATCCCATCAGCAATTTTTAAGGCAGAAGCAGCCTAAAGACTTAAGGTACTGTTGAAAGTGATGGCCTTTTTTCCCAAAGGCTATCTTAAGTTTAAACCATAGGGGAAGAAAAACCAAACTAAGGTACAGGTCAGTTGGAATATAACCTCTCACTTCCCCTAGAATCGTCTCCAATATCCTTACGGTGATGAAGAGTTCATCCCACATGTTCAAAGTAGTGAAAGTCTGCTTCTAGGCTAGTTTGGTGCTGCCTTTTTTAAATTTTACAAATATCTCTTGTTTTGTTCTTTTATTTTATTTGTATTTTTTCTTGCTTTTAAAGCATCTATGAGCTGTAATGGGTAAATGGATACAGCATTTTTAAAAACGTCTCTCCAAAAATAGAAAACAACAACACCACAGTTAATTAAAAATACTTTTTATTGCATTCTTAATGAAGTTCCCCACTGAGGATACACCCCCACGGAATAATTTATACCTGCAAAGTGTAACACTGGAAGATATTGGGACAATTTATCTCTCTATTCAATCCCTTTGACTTCAAACCAACTAAACTGAAACCTAATTTTTTTTCCAAAAACCAACAACACCTCACTTGACTGTCCCTTAGAAAAAGAACGCTCTTAAACTGAAGTTTAAATAATTTAATGACATGGGTTTCACCCTTGCAAAATGCAAAATATGTCCTGAAATGTCTCAAACAAGACGATGTATTGCCGAAAATCTGTACAATTTTGTTACTTCATCAGACATGCAACAGCTCCATACTTGCTACATTAGTGTAGTTTTCACTTGAAGGTTGATAGTAACGTGGGTTTGCATTAGTTTTGCCTAATTTCCCTCTGAAATTGGTTAAAAAAAAAGACTCTACACCACTCTCTCAACCAATCAAAACGATGGAAAACGTAAACCAATCACAGCTGCCCACGTTTGGTTTTACTTTGAATTCTCATTGGCTCTTCAAAGTATTTCTCTTTCTTCTGATTGGCCATTGTGATTACTTTGGTTTTGGTTTCACAACACTCATTCGAAGAGCGTTCTCACGAGAAGGTAATTTAAAACAAATTAAACATAAATAGACTCCGTTTTTTCCACAGCAACTTGAGTGACACTGCATGACATTTAGCGGGCCAGACAGAGATTGTTTTTAGGGAAGTCTAAGACCGTTAAGAGATAAGATCGTCATACAACGATTAACGAAGGAAACTTTAACAGTCGTCTTAACAAATATAAAGGCACACCGTCATTACCGGCCTCCTATACTTGTTTAGTTTATTCCTCTACTAACGCTTTTATCAAGTTACACTATAAATAATAATAGTCATTGGATAAATAAAACATGAGCCTTTTTTCCGTTGTTTGACACCAAATTTCCAAAATTTTTTTTTGGTTTCCGTCATCGAGACGGTCACTTTTTTATCGCTTTTGTACATCTTGAGAGCTACGTAGGACGAAAAGCTGACTTAGTGTAGGAAAATTGTCCTTGAAAGATGGCAAAATTACTTTTGATTCAGAATGTTATCGCAAATCTAACCAAGTACTTTGGCATCTTATAACGATTCACAATGTCCGTCCTCTCAGTGCAAGTCAACTGTCTCCGCAGCAGCTTCTCCAAGATCGAACTTGGATCCAATTCGATCATATGCCCCTGTGTGACTGAAAAATAGTCAGGTGATCATCGTTTGAACACTCCAGCAAGAGACCAGGATTTGACTTCATCTTGGATTTTGTCTCATCGTAGCTACAATTGAGGATCCTAATATCTGTTGAGCACGAATTCAAAATTGATAAGAAAACGTTAAATAATATTTTAAACTTGGCAATGAATTGTTCAGTTGCAAGACTGACATTGACTGACATTGACCTCGTGAAAGTTAGAAAAATCAAAATGACCGCTCACGTACATCTCGACTTCTCTTTGACAGCAATATCAGTAAGTCGCAGGGTTGGTCGGTAACTAAGAGCATTCACTTTTAGAGCAATTTTCAGTTGAATTGCCAAAAGAACTCCGGGTTAGTATTGGTTTTGCTTTACTTTGCTCTGTGCTTTGTTTAGAAAACTCTGTACCACTCTCTCAACCTCTCTTAAACCAATCGCGACTTGGTCACCCGCGTTTCCCGCGGTTGATTTTTCTTCGAGCTCTCATTTGTTTTAAAAGGTACTGGCTTTCCTTTCTTCTGATTGGACTTTGCTTTTGGTTTTTACGACACTCAGTCGAAAAGCGCCCTATAAGGTTAGTAAACTAATTATCAATGATTCCAAAACTGGGTGCGCAAAGACGTTAGGCGGACAGGAGCGATCGTACCTTGCGCCCTGTTTTCTAAGGTACACGCGAAAGACACTGTTGAAAGGATGCTGCATGTCATATTATGTGTAAGAGAAGTATAGTGTATAAAATGACCATCTACGGCGCCCAAACAACCGATTACCTGGCAAATTAACCGAACGCAGACATTTTATGAAGGGGATTTCAGATCACAGGAAATTAAAGGAGTAATGGAAGATTGGCATACCTGACGATACGACACCAAGAACTATTATTTACAGCATTTCTTTTTGCCAGGTTTTTCTTGCACGAGATTCAAAACGCTCTGCATTAATTCGTCTTCCCTCACTTGCAGCATTCTAAAACAGGAAGGAGGTTCAGAGGGTTATCCAAGACAAAACAAAACTGATATAAGAATCAGAAAGATAGAGTATCAAATTGGTGTACTCACTTGGAAAATTCCGCCATCGATTCCGTTATGTTGTACCCCGTTTTTGCGCTCGTTTCAGTGTACAAGGCTTTGTATTCCTGTAAGGCAAGTAGATATAGTGAGAAGATAATGGGATAATCATTAATAATCTGTAAATAAGCTAACTATTAGAACGGTTAAAATGATGGACGGCCAGTCCATCAGACAAAGTGAGTGAATCAGCCAGCCAGTCCGTTTGTCATTGATTCTGTTAGTTAGTCGGATCATTTAGTTGGCCAGTTCATCAGACAAAGTGAGTCAGCCTGTCCGTCTGTCACTGACCCTGTTAGTCAGTCGGATCATTCTATCGACGACTCAATGACAACGAAAACAGTTACTGAATCGGTCGTTCAGTACGTCAGTAAGGCAGAAAGTCAAGAAGTCAGTTAGTCAGGCAATCAGTAATTAATCAATCGCTTGAGAATGTACCTCGGCTAATTTCTTTCCTTCCTGACTCTGCACTGCTCGGTGGCTGTCATCCTCTACCAGATCGGTCTTGTTACCAACAATCATGATAGCTGTGCCGTCATCCGTTCCTTCCTGAAACGCGTATACACATACAAAAAATAAGTAACTATAAACCTATTGTGTGGTCTGGCTTACCGATGATTTCCTCGTAACTCGGTTTCCAGTGAACTTGACCATGAAATCAGAAGTAAATGAAATTCACATCCGACGAGGATTCACATTTTTTTTTTCCCATATTCGTCACAAATGTCCAGCATCTTTCTTCACAGGTTAACCCTTTGACTCCCAGGACCTTAACCCTCTAACCCAAGAGAGGGACTAGCACTTAATTTCTCTCGAGTTACAGTATCATACTTGAATCACATATGAAGGTCATGAGAATGATTCCTTGAGGCGAAATGTAATAATACCTCTACGCTTATCATCCAGTTTTTTATGTTTAGATATGATGTCTCCATGGTGATGTCATAAAATACAATTACTCCGTCCGCCTTCCTGAAGTATTGTTTTGTGATGCTTCGAAATCTGCCAGATAGAAAAAGAAGATGGTATGAGAACAGTCCAACAGCAACTGTTACATGCCGTAGGCTTCGATCCGAATTAAAAGTTGCATTCTTGTGGTCGGGACAGTCTTCTCTATTTCAGAAACACACATGAAATAGATTCTATGTGGTCGTGCGTCTGTTACCTAATAGGTCACAGATGACGTCAATTGTGTTAAGAGATTCTGTGTTGCCATGTCTGTTCAGTTATAGCTCACAGATGAAGTAAAAATGTAGTAGGAACAAAATGGGATCAGACGAGGCACAGCCAGGTCTGCCACTGATGTTATTAGGGAATACTTATGTACACACCTCTCCTGGCCAGCAGTGTCCCAGAGCTGCAGTGCAAAACATCTGCCATCTATACACATCGTTTTAATTTGGAAGTCAACCCCTGGACAGGTGAAACAACATAGTGACTATGAGTATGAGCTACAACAATTTTTGTATCAAACTGTTAACGTGTACACACGCCGCGAAATTCTCGATTCGATGTCTAAGGAAAATACCAAAACAAGAGCGTTTTGAAAAGACGTAATTGAACTATCTAGGACTAAATTCCCTTAGAAATCTTCAACGTTTTAAGCTCCTCTATGACAAAAATGGCCAATTGCCAATCGCAGCAAAGGGAAAGATCACGAGGGAACAGTGGAAGCTCAACGAAAAACAAGTACACTGCCTAAAGCGCGGGAAAGCGTGGGTCACCAAGAGGCAGTTGGTTTTGATTTGTTGAGAGGGTAGTGCAAGTTTTCTGGACAAATCACTGAGCAGAGAAACACAAAACCAATACAATCCTAAATTACTTTCGACACTCAGCTGAAAATCTCTCTCTTCAAAACTGCATAAAAAACCTGTCTTGACTTAAGATTGACATTTCTACCCTGCACGATGTGTAATGAACTAAGTACCTATCGTTGCAGTGAATGAAGGTCTCCAAGCGTCATGGCAAAACCGGTGGATGAAACTAGACTTTCCTACACCGGAGTCGCCAACAAACACCACTTTGAACACTCTTTCTGGTGTGGAGGGCTCACTAATCGTCGACACACCTGCTTCGCTCATGTCCTGCTGTGAGTTCCAGAAAGAAAAATAACGAGCTTTAGTAATAAAGGAGAAAGAAAAATATTAGTGAAAGAACTTGATCTATTCATGTGTTGACTTTCGACTTACAAAGGCTGTTCTAGATGTGGGTTACACAAATCGAAAATTTGAAAAAACAAACCAGCACAGTAGCAAGGAAATAACAACACACTATTTGCTTGTGCAACATGAAAAAGCAGCTCACAATTGAAAAATTAGCAAAGATGAATATGATAACGAGATGAAGCAAAACAATTTAATAACAGAAATAATAGGCCACTTTCACATAAACAAAACTCGATGTAAATAAAGTACTGTAAAGCCATCTCACAAACAAGTTTGAAGTAACTTTTATTGTGAGGTTGGGCAGACAACAAACTTAAATAAAAAATATAATTTATCTTCAAAATTGAATTTAAATATCATAGAGAATAGTAGAAGTGCCACTAGGACATGCATACAGAAAATAAAAAAATGGGGACCGACAGGCAAACCACACCTGAAGCAGTATGATTGGGAATGCATCGCCAAAAAGAAACAATCGCCAAAACAGGAGACAGTTACAAACTTACTGATCCTACTCGATTCATTTCATTGTCCTTCCCGACAGGCGCTGCGCGTGGGGAGTTTGGTCTCTCGTCTGTCTCACTGCCAGTTTCGCCGCTCAATCCCTCAGAATATGACATGTCGGAGTCATCTTTCCCTGTTTTTAACCTGTTGGTGCCTGAAACAGGAAAGCATTCAGTCATTTATAAATATATACAGTCAGTTATAAACATGTAGAAGTCTTGGAAACTCAGTTTGTTATGAAGACATGCGCGCAAGGTGTGTAACGCCGACAGAAAAGACCTGAGAGCGAAACCATGGTTTATGATATCCGATATTCCACGCTGCGTTCACGCACATTAGTGATCTCCACTGCACTTAATAAAAACTTTCAGCTGTATGACTTAAAGCAATTTCGGCAACGTTGCGAAAATATTTGTACTTTTGTGAATAAAAATAAAATATTTACCTAGTTTGAGAATTAGACGTAGTCAAACATTAGTCTTCCCAGCTTTTGTTTTTTTAATCTGTCTTCTATCCACTGTAGAGCTATTTCAATCAAACCTTCCGAGCAGCAAATAAGCGCTGACTGATTTAAATGTACACTTGAGAGAACAACTTACCATCACCAGATATCAAATCAGCTTTTCTTGTTCTGAACACGTCTTCTTCGAGTTCTTCGTCGCTTGTCCTCATCTGTGAATCTTCTCTCTCTTCTTCTACAGGCTCTAAAATATAAAGCGTTGCTGGATTAAGTGTATTCGGTTTTTCTTAGTTCTCTTTACAAAGTTTTGAGAACGGCAGCTAAGCAAAGTTTGTCTTACACCCCGACAGCATTATTTTAAGATTGGTTTCCATTTACCAAGACGCATACCGACACGTCTAGCGACTACTAATACGTCCACTCGCAGACACTCAACTTGGCAACTATGTTGGGAAACTAGTTATCTCCTTTTTTCCGCGTATAGCGGTGCCAACTATTTGACAAGTGTATGTTCCACCAAAATAAGTTAAACTTTATGGTGTACCACTCTGATGTGATAATGATAATGAAATCTGAATTAACCACTTCCAAAAAGGGCTAAAAGGGCTATTGCAAATAGAAAGAAATACACCAAATCGAAAACAAATAGTCAGAAGGTCGAAGGTATACTCTCTGGCTAGGTGAGGGGCACCGCCGAACAATTGAACCATGGGTAACTGAGAACTGAAAGTCCAGTCCCCTAAAAACTCGGTCATGCTTCCTCTTCATAACATGATTTTACCTATGTCTCCATTATCATCCAATTTCAACAAATCGACTTTTATTGGATCTCAGTAGCAAACAGGATGTTTCCCTAGGCCTAGGGTACCTAGTTACATGGAATGGCTACCTCTGAGAGTCACAAAAGTCCCACTAGGTCAGTGGCAAAGCATCCAAAGAACTGACTCCTTGAGGAGCAGTTAGAATTTCTTTTTTTCTCTACCAAATATGTCTGAGTCACTTTCAGGGAAGGATTGTTATTCATACCTTTAGGTTGCACACAAGACAGTATCTTTTGGGCCCAAGCCGGCCGCTCTTCCTCTTGCAGCTTCTCATCTGAGATGAGTTCAAGAGTTGGATCTCCTTCAAATTCAGCCTCTTCTCGTATGGAGTCAGGAAGGGACGCAGAGCTGGTAGTAAAAGAAAAGCAGCCTGTTTAAAGCGGAAATGTGTTCTTGCATTTAAAATATTAATAAAATATTACTCTCAGTGAGAGTAGTTCTGAAATGAACTGATGTCAGTAACATCCATTGACGTTTCGACCAACTAAGCAGAAGTGATTATCGGAGTTGTTTGTCAGTCGAATGCTCAAGTCTGAGTTATGAAAAACTGACCATGACGTTTTGCAGTGATGTTATTGGTGTTATCATTATCAATCTCACTATTTCTATCGTTTTTAGCATCATTTATAGATATTATTAGCTTGGATCTTGCTAGACACCTACCATCGCTGATAAAATAAAACAGCAACTTAGTTGAATAGACAGGTGCAGACTCAATGAAGAGTGATAAATATATTACTAAGGTACCCAATTTTTTTTCCTCTAAAATTAATTCCTCAAAGGACAAACCTAAGGGTACACAAGGTTCGAGTTAAAAAGCAGCGTCCTAACTCGTTTCTTGAAAATTTTGCGAAATGATACATCCATGGATGGCGGTCAGAAGATTACATTTTCCACGATCGCGGTCAAACAGCTAAAATATCACTGAATCGAATAGAGGTTTATCTTTCAAACTATTTAACATTCTTACTTGAAGCATTTAATTAAATCCTTTAAGTCTTCACCTTTTTGACTTCCTTTATTTTAAGTGTTTTTTTAGCATATTTTCATATGGTTTGAGGACCTTAGCTCCGCTCAACTTGAGCAGATCAGATTTAATTTGTAATATCTTCCATTTTTACCTACCTTTGCTTACCAGTACCAGCATTTGGGAAATACGAATGCAAAACAGAGCCCTGTTTCTTCATGTCGCGCCGTTTAGATCGCCTTCTTGCAGGAGGTCGTGCGGAATCACTTATAAAAGATAGGTTTAAATCACGTTTAACTACATTTAAGAAAACCACTATTAACCACGAAGTTACTTCGTAAGATTTACTGCTTGTTCTTGCTTCACTACTTTCACCCGAACTTTATTATGCATATTTTCCATACAGTTCCTTACACATTTTCTAAGGCGCTGACAGGGAGAATTTATTTAACCACCAAGAACTTCTTTGGTTGGTTATCATTTCTTTTATTGTTGTGGCCTAAGGTGATATTGTAAGGAGAAATTAGATCCTAGTTCCTCCACGAGGTCAAAGAGTTAACTTATCAAGGGAGTGCTTCTCATTTAGTGGAAATTATTTTCAGTCGTAACTAACCGACTAGGCAAGTTCATTTGAAATTCCATTAGAGTAGTGATTCAAATTCAAGAACTGCCTGATTTGGCCAAATAGATGTTATTATTAACGGATTTTTTTTTATTAAAGGACCAATCTCATCAGTCAGTTAAGAATAATGACGATCATCTTGAGATAAAGTTCAAGGTTTTATTAAGAGGTCTCCTCCACAAAAAAGGTAAAGTTTCTCTCTCTGAGGTTGAGTTTAGTGTTAAAACAGGCTTTGATGGAATTTACAAACTCTTTTTAATGCAAACTTATTTTGTCTTTTCGTTATTAGTTTTTGGTTCTAACCAATGTATGTTTATGTGGATTATTTGTCTCATAGTCATATTGTGGTAAGTTCTCCTTTTTTCAATTTTTTTAAGTAATAATAACAACTTGATATCAATGATTAAAAAATGTGTAAGTGTTAAAATTATTTATATAGGATTGCAAATTGCTGCAATTTGCTGCAATTTGCGGGACTTACGATGGTCTTACCAGGTTAAATAATGAAATGCTTTTGAAGAAAAATCAAATTTCACCCAATTCCCACTTCCCCCCTCCCCCCCTCATTTTTGCATCCTGGGATACCTCGAGTTCCTGTTGATAGGGAAACACGATTAACAAAACAAGTACCCTAGCCCTTTCAATCTTTCAATCTCCCTGACCTCCCCATTACCCCCCCCCCTCCAAAAAAAAATGTCAAGTGTATCCACCCTCCTGTTGAAAGATGTATTCCTCTTATCCCAACAAACCTTATGTTAGGCCCGTCTACTTCCTCTTCACTTAACGATCCCACGGAACCTTGGTTTCCCCATGTTTCCTCCGCACCAGGGGTACGTCTCTTTCTCACGTACTTGGACATCTGGGAACCTTGCCGAGAAACTTTGGTCTTTTTCTGTCAAAAAAAACATTAGGGCATCAAGGAGGGGACGTTCTGTAGGTGGCTAGGTACATAATGATTCTAACCTGCCAGGGAATATTAGAGCTTCGGACAGCTAAGCACGTGGACGTCAAAATAACGTAATCAAGTAAGGACACTGTCAAGTCGAATAATGTTTATCAACTTCATTGACTTTCATTTTCCTAACCCTTCAAGGGACAAATAAATGTTTCTTCAATTTTAACCCTGTTCCATGCGAGGGCGCGATTTTCAACACAGCATGGCTCTGGGCGAAGCCATTTCCCATCGTGCTTGTTGTATTTCGCTTGAAACACGAGCCAATCCGGATGTGAGGAGAATTTTCATCTCTGACTAAACTTTTCACTGTAAAGAAGGCCCTGGGAACGAGATTGTTTTCCTTCCAAGCTGTTAAAACGTTTGAATATGTTTACACTTGTTTACATACATAAGTTTGCCTTCATTATAAGATTACTTTCACAGTATCTTGAACAAGCAACAATTAACTTGAAGCAACCATTAGACTTTCAAATTTCTGTTACGTAAGGCAGTCAAAATTGTACGAGATCTTTGATGATATCGTGTGCGGAGTTTTAACTCAATAGCATTAAGCTTTTTTTTTTTAAACTCAGTGTTCACTTTTAATTTACACGCCACGCATTATAATCCAAAGTTAAAGAGTGAGCTTTCACACGTTCTTTGCGTAAGAACGCCTGAAGTTAATTTACGCTTTATCTGAAAAAGGCAAATATTCAATAGGTGTAGATATCTTAAACCAAACCTGAAAATTTCAAATTTAGTATTTTATCTTACCTCGGCTTCTTCAATCTCATCACTGAGACTGCCATATCCTCTTTCCTTTTTCTGTTTAATAAGCAGTACTTATTAGGCCTAATTTAAAGTACGTTATGCTTTACGCCTGGCATTAACATTTCACAGTTTATTTCAAATTTAAAGAAGTCTACAAGTTTGTGCTTATATGAGGTCCAGTTTGGTGATTGATAGAAGCCCTCCTCGACGGCCCAAGTGCACCATGCATTTGTCGGAGCGATTGGAGCGCTTTTTTTAATTGAGTTTCGTAAAATCAAAACCAAAACAATCACAATGACCAATCAGAAGAAACGAAAATATCATTGAGAGCCAATGAGAACTCAAAGTAAAACCAACCAAGCTGCCTAAAGCGCGGGAAAACGCGGGCGACCAAGTCGTGATTGGTTTAAGTTTTGCATCTGAGTGGTTGAGGGAGTGGTGGAAGTTTTTTTTTGACCAATCACAGAGCAAAGAAGATCAAAACCAGTGCAATCCCGGATAACTCTCGACCCTCAATTATAAATTGTTATAAAGAAGGCAAATCACGGTAACAGGTGAGTTAGGAGTCTTTCCTTAAGGTCACACAAACTATTGTTTCAGGAAAGTTACTTTGTATGTTTAAATGGTACACCATGTTTGCTTGCGTTGGTTGCGTTAGTTGAGCGTTTTTGCCTCATGCCTGTTAAAGGGAGGATTTGAAAAGCTTTATCACAGCCACTTTCTATAGAGTCGCACAACAGTAGGAATAAACCTTTCTCCAAAATGGCGCATGAATTAAACATTTTAAGAAAAACAACCCTCAGAGCAGAAAATTACGCAGTCCAGGTAAGCGACAATGAAACCTCTATTCTTGGATATAAAAATACGACATTGCTCACATTTGAAAGCGTTCAAGAAGCCAGAACCTTACATCCAATTTCTACAGATTCCACATAAATTTTCTCTTCTGGAAAAAACTCCAGGCCAAAATTAAACTCTGGAGGATTACCAAGCGAATGTGCTTGTTTTAAAGCTGGTGTAAATTTCCGGTAGAAATTAATATTTACTGGTTGAGGTTGCAGCTGCGATCTTGGAGAAGGATCTCCCGTGACGTGGCTATCGTATCAAGAAATGGGCCATTGTTGTGGGTTAAATTCGACTTCACAAGTTCAAACAAAAGCCTTTTGTTGTTTGTTGCGCTGAGGAAATTGTGCCGAGACTCGACGAAGATGAATTTCAAATCGTCGCAAAATTGTCGGCGTGTCAAATTAGCGGCACTTGGGGAGAGGGGTTGGAAAAGTTGCTCATAAGCGCCCTGTTCACACAGGGCTAACAATGACAGCCGGTTACGAGAGAGGTTCAAAATAATAATAAGAAATTTAAAAAATTAAGCCAGCTAAACATCGAAACTTACCTCAGAAAAATTACAATTTAAGTTTTAAGATTTAAAAGAGAGTTCAAAGTATTTAACTCGTCGGTGTAAAGCAATGATTAGTTGTTACTCCTGAGAATATATTTTAAAATGATTTAATTCGATGAACAATTTTTCTCTCATAGAAAACTATGAAAAAACCTTCGTACACTCGAGGGAGAATTAAAAAACATGTTAAGGCTACCGAAAAAAAAAGAACAGAATAAACCAAAACAAAATAAAAAAATTAACAAGCCAAAAAAATCAAGAAATACGTACAGCCATTAACATCTGTGGCGAATCCCATGGGAAGGTCCAGCACAAGCGCAGCAGGCATTGGCAAAAATAAGTCAGTCAGTTAGAGAGAATGATTATCATTACAAATTATTTCTTGATTAATATCTTATTAACTAGTATCATATCGAAATTACCATGAAGTCAATTTAAGTTGGGTAAACTGTGCCATCATTAATAACGTACGTACGTCGACAGTGTTAATTTGCTTAATTTCCATTACTCATAGCTTTTCAATAAGTAATTGTTACGACAAATGGTCAGTGAACGGCGTCAGTAAAGATAATTATAAGGAAGTCCTTTGGTCAGGTTATCAAAACAGGTCTGTCAACTTTTCGACAAGTTAAACCAGTTTGGGGCTTACCGCTTGATGTGCTGCCTCGATTGCATCCTTGTCATCTCTGAGCTTCTGATTCATATCCCTTTAATGAAAAGTAGTAAAGATAAACAAGCAGTTAGTTTTAAGTGTAAGTACCGAGTTTCAGAGGCAAACAAGTTTTAAGTTTCTGATTGCAAAGATGGCTAAAAAACAGAGCGCAAAGATAGCTACAAAACACGATGGAGTGATAGACAAGTTTCTCCCGAGCTATGAGCAGTTGTTAATTCGGTTGCAGAGGCAAACAACGATTTTAGGAAGTTGTATGTGGCTTCTCTTTTTTAATTTGAAAACATTGGCAAAAACAAAAAAGAAACATAGAATCAAAAATCTAAAGTACTATAACTCTGACCACAGCAATAATACCCCAATCAATTCTGTATGTTGCAAAAATGACTCTTTAACACAGGTCCCTTAAATTACAGTAACTGGAAGGGGCGCTTAACCCTTTACATCCTAATATCAGTATGCATAGTCTCCATTCTGTTCTGTATATATTTCCAAAGGAACCAACAAGGAGAGTTGTTGAACGGTAAAGAGCTTGTATAGTTATTGATCATTTGCTTTATTTTCGTACCATTAATGTATGATTCAGGGGTGATATTGTGAGGGAAAATTGGATATAATTCACTCTTAGGAGCCAAAGAGTTAACCGCATCTCAACAAGAGCTTTACTTGACTTGCCGTATGGAAGAGAGCATCGTCCTAAATAAGCAATGAAGCTATGTTACCTGAGCATATCCAGCTGCTTAATGAGACTTGCTTGTTCCTTTTGCATACCTTCTGACACTCGCATAGCCGCCCTAAAACGCAAAAGTGAAACTTTGTTATCGAACATTAAACCTCTGCCTTAACAAGGCAACCATTACACGGCTTCCTAATTTAATACGAGCCCCAACCAATCGCAAGATTGTTGGGAACATGAGCCGCTCATCTTTAAAAAATGAGCCATCAGTAATCAATGTAGCTGGCATTCCCTAAACTTCAATTATTTTTCTTGATTTAGGTTTGGATTACGAATTTTTACCAAAAGTAACCTTGACAAGGTAGTCGAAGAAGATCGAATGCGCAGATTTACGGAATCATAAATGTCTCAGATCATAATAACATAGGACAAGTTGGTTACTTCTACAACGAATTGTACGTGATGATAGCATTCAGATGAAGAAAACATGCCACAAATAGCGCTTGCTGATTAACTGAATCGCTGGAACGACTTGTTTCTCTATCACGTAAAGCTAAACAAAGGAACATCGACAGCATTTTTCTCGCAAATAAAGTTATCACTTATTTTACTTCTTAATCGAAAGGCGAAGAACCATGAAGGTATTTACGTTTGACAATTGAAAAAGAGAGAGAGAGAGAAAGAAAGAAAAGAAAATACCCTTTCTCAGCATCACTTGACATTTCAGCAGAATTGCTCAAGTGCGCATGTTGTTCAGCGCAGTTTCCACAATCGCACAACATGGCTTGACAGCCTTTGTCTAAGACTTCCACAACTACAGACGAGCTTACTGGCGAAAGTGGTTCCATACCGTTATTTTTGCAAAGGTTTGTTTCGTCCATTCCATGGAAGAATTGAAATCCCACGACGGATTCCTCAATAGTGTCGGGGCTCTTACCATAAGTGGCTGGACGATGGCGAGACGCCATCTGGTTTGGCGGACTGGAGATCTCTAATTGCTGGTCGCTGCCTTCAGCAAGAGATAATTCAAAGTCTTGAGAGCCAATAGGCCCATCAATGGAAGACTTTGAATCCGTATCGTCCAAACCGTATGGTATTGTTTGGCATGCTTTTGGCAAAATTAAGAAGATTTCGTCATCCAGTTGCGTCTGGCTTTCTTTGTTCTTACAGGCCATAGCCGTGTCTAAAATTGTCGTCTGGCAGAGTTTTGAAGATGTAAGGAGGATATCTCTCTCAGGCTTTGTTTGACTTCCTTTGTTTTCACAACTTATGGTAAGCGCATTTCGATGAAGAGGGTCAGAGGACTTACTTCTAGCATCCTCGCCACCCACTTCCATCGAATCGAAACGGTCCCACAATGGATGATATAGTTCATTTGTTGAGTCAGATACTGTTTGGCACTGTACGCTGACATTACTAACGCTTTGATCATCCTTAGAACTTTTAGCAGCATCAGTTGTATCCCATATAACTTCCTCCACTGTCTGGCATTCCTTTGACTCGGTTTGACTGGCGGGGAGAGTTTGGCATCCTTTGCTGTCGAGTGTTGGTCTATTTCCGTTCCCAGCGCTTATAGTTTCGAAAGAAAAGGTCTGACAATGTTTGGACGTCGCCAAAAGAAGTTCAAGGTCACGCACTGTTTGACACTCTTTTGTATCGAAGGAAACAATCCGGGATGTTTCGTTTTCTCGTGCAGCTACGTCACCAATATCAGTGAAGGGAAGTATGTCGCACTGGGCTGGTGATGAAACGAGCACAACATTAGATGATGTTTGGATTTCTTTGTCCGAAACGCCAGCCTTGTAATATGATGTCCATCCCTGAGGGGCCTGCGCTCCGCCAGTGATTAACAGAAGGCTCTTCTGAGACGTTTGACATCCCTTGCTTTCAAAGGAAATATCTTCAACTGCTTTATTCCCAGTAATCTTAGCACTGCTTTGATGAAGTAGTAATTGTGCAAAATCATCTCTTGCAGGACTTGTCTGACATTCCTTCGATGATGTCGAAATATGCCCATATCCAGAGATTGTCTGGGATTCTCTCTCAGTGTATCGGCATTCCTCTGGTAGCTTATCGTGAATTTCGAATGAATCTACAGGGCCTCCGCACCTGACGCAGCAAATGGTAGGTAACTCCGTTTGACATTCGATACTTTGGTTTTGCAATGTGCCTCTAAGATTAGGTAAGTCGCTGACCTTATATGTTTGACATCCCGTATCTGTAGCACCGTTCAAAAAAGAAGTCTGACTTTCCCTTGATTCGTACTTCTGGAAATTATCCTGTAGGATTTCTACTTGGCATTGCTTGTCAAGACCCTGCACGGCTGAATAGTCGGTATAGTGTTCATATAATGGAGCAATTTCGAAATTTTCTTCTGAGTTAGAATATGGGAATGTAGCTGAAACGGTTAAAAGTCTTTGATGACAAACTTCCTTTATCCCAAAATTGGCCTCTGTTTCACAAAAACTTTCATTTTCCTTCGGTGTTTCAGTGTGATCAGAACCATATGACGAGCGTCCACTTAATCCGTCTGCTGGTTGCACCAGGTGAATTTTTCTCGTTTCAGCTGGTTCACGGATTTCCTCACTCACAACCTTGCTTCCTACATATGCAAGGGCGTCACTTTCAGTTTTCATGTTAATATCTCCTGAACTTGAGTAACTGTTTTCAGGATACGTCGAGTACGGTGCATCGTTTCCATAGACTTCGATCACCTGATCTTCAGAAGAGTATTCATCCATGTCATAAGTACAAGAAATCTCGTTTACATCATTGCCTCTCATTTCCTCGTCGCAGACTAAACCGTCATCTGTCTTTCTAATTTCTAGGGATTCGGAGGGACTTGAACCCATCTCCTGTTCGGAGAAAAAGGCATTTCTTTCGACCAAAAGATCACCGTCAAGCTTCACGCTTTGAGATCCGTCTTCCCACTGACAATCGTTGTCGGTAGAAGCTACATAACAAACATTCTCCACTACGCATAGCTCCTTATTGCTAAATTCTCTGTCTTCGTGATCAGTTTTAGGATCTAAGGAATCTGCATCTCGCTCAACGTAGCTGCCAAATTCTTCAGAAGAGCTATTAGCTCTTGATTCATCGTTAGGGTATCTGTACGGCGTGTTAACGATCTTCTCTAGTCGTGAAGTTTCTGTCCAAGTGGGAATTCCTGTTGACGATGTTAGGTTTTTCCTGTTATCATCCTCCTTGAGGAAAGCGTCTGTGAGCGTATTGAGAGATCGTAGCTTCTTCTCAGCATCTTTATCAGCATCTGGAACTTCATTGTCATTGTTTAAGATTAACGAATGGCCTGTGGAGAAAGATTTAGACTCGATGTCATCCCACACAACTACTTCATCCCCAGGCAGGATAGGGACATGGAGGTTATTTTCCTTCCTGGAAAAGTCAGAAAACTTGGAGTCATCCCCATCGCTATTTCGACCACCGATGTCCGGAGTCGGAATGTTTTCTAGAATCTTGCTTTCCAGTTTGGGTTTTGATGATGCGTAGGTCTCCTTGGGAGGCGCATTAAAACAGCTTTGAAGGTCGATAGTTCTGATTTTAGATATTTTTTCCGTGTCTACCAACTTTTCATTGCCTTCAAAATCTGAATTTGAAGTTGCGGTACTCTCTTTTAAAGAGGGTGTTGTCGAGGAACTTTGTTCATCTCTGGAGCTAGTTCCCGGGTTTTCTTCATTCAATCTACTAATCTCTCTTCCTTCCAACTTTGGTTCTGAAAATGTGGACGTTTCAATAAAAGAGGGCGCGGTCGGGGAACTCTGAAAATAGCTGGAAACTGTTTTTGGCATTTCAGGAGTCAACACTGAATGTCCACTGGCTTCAAACTTTCGCTTTGAAGATGTGACACTTTCCTCAGAAGATGGCGCTGGTAAGGAGGTCGAATGACCATTAGAACTAATTTGTGGGATAGGATCCGTCGCTTTCCTTTGTTCATTGCCTTTTATCTCTGGTTTTGAAGATGTGCCTCTCTCTATACAAGAAGGATCTGCCAAGAAACTCTCTTGTTCTCTGGAACTGATTTCCGAACTCTTTTCTATTAATATCTTCTGTCCACTGCCTTCCACCTTTGGTCCTGAAGACGCAATAGTCTCCAAAGGGGCTATCAAAGAACTACGAGAACTGATATCTGGGATTTCTCCTAGAAGTCTCCTTTGGCTCTTCCCTTCCAACTCTAGCACTGAGGTGGTGACACTTTCCATAGAAGGCTGAATCGAAGACTTCCGATGAGTGCTTGAACTGGATTGCGGCATTTCTTCGGTCAATCTCTTCTGTGCACTTCGTTCCAACATCAGCTCAAACATTTTGGCACCATCTTCTGAAGAAGGAGCTGTAAAGGAACCCTGAGGTTCCCGTATTTCTTCCCTCGATATCCCATGTGTTGACGCAAAATCATTCTCCAACTCTGGACTAAGAGAGATACTTTTGTCGTCATGGTCTGCTAAGGCAAGGGCCCGATCTGTCGTCGATTCCAGAAATGAAGTGGATTTCAACGTTCCTTGACTGCTTGTCGTTTGCGAAGGATACGAAGTACTGAAATGGTCGCTTCTCACAAATGTTTCTCGGCTAACATCTTCTGTCGAAGAGTTCGCCCTTCCCTGATCTTGCTCTGTGTGGAAATATCTTTTGGAAGCTTTCTCCCCACAAGCCGTTTCTTGGTACAAACTTCTTGGATATCCAAAGGTTGTTGTCCGGTGTTCTTCAGGTCTTTCAGTTGAGTTTCGTTCTAAACGTTGTAGAGTCGAACTGAAAGGTTTCAAAGAGAATTCACTTTTTATCGTCGGAAGAAGTTCGTCTCCCTCAGTATAAGTTTCTGAAAGACGCTTTATTTTCTTGGAGTACCCTGTTTCACGTTTGTCTTCCTTGGCCGCCTTTCTCTTGGTTTCGTTTTGTGAATCAAGAAACGAAGGGAAATCCTTTCTCTTGCATGGTTGCTTTGCAATTTCCATATCATTTTCAGCACTTTTCACATAAGCGGTCTCCTCATTTGCTTCCAAACCAATACCTGGTGTCCTGTTAGGTTCTAGGCTGGCGATATCCATTTCGTCTCTCTGATGACTCACATCATCTCCCTTCCAGGTATCATCTGTATCCATACTCACTTCTGTGGTTCCACCTGAAAAAGCTGGAGAGCCACTTTCTTTCCGGGTGGCCTTAGCAGCGAAGTCGCCAGCACCTTTAGAAATGCTATCATTTTCATTGAGATCTACACCATCACTGTTGTTGGCCGCATTTAGCTCAACACCTCGATCTATACTCCAGTTTTCAGTAGTAATTGGGGAGTTTTGCCTTGGCCTTTCAAAAGAATCGTGCCTTGCAATTTTTCCTCTCAGATAGTTAAGAGAAACTTCTCTTGATTTGGGAACACCTAAATTAGCCTGATTGCTTTCAGAAGTCTGGCTTAAGGTGCGCTTTCCTTCACTGGAATGCTCGAAATCGTCCAAATCAGATACGAGCGTCACGCCCATATGACCTTCTGGATGCGGTCGACCACTCTTCTGCAGACATACTTGCCACTCAGAGTCACAATCGCTGTTGAACAGGAGGGAGCCCCTGATAGAATCATTTATAGTCTGTTTAACAGGGGTCATTAATTCAGTCTTCCTTACAACAGCGTCATACTCAAGCGGTGTACTTCCATGTACTTTATCTATTTTCAACTGCGCTTCTGGACTTGAATACTCTGTTCTTGCTTCAGGATTTCCACGTTCTGTCCGATCTTGCCAATCACTACTGAGATCTAATGAAAAGGTTGCAGAATTCAAAGCTGAAGAGGGTTCCTGAATATTGATAAAGTCATCTCTATGTACCTCGGACTGGTCTCTTAATATTCCGTCTTTCAATCCGTGTTGCCTTTCAAGATAGCTTGCATGCATTTCTTCTGACAGAAACTTTGAATCTTTCATCCTGTCGTTTTCGTTACGCAAACCCTGTTGCTCGACTTCACTTGGCTTTCTCCGTGGTCTTCGGACTTTCGGGGTCCTACTTATGGCCTTAACACTTACATCGATCGGTCGTTCTATAAAGCCTGATAGGTGCGATTCTAAAGCGGTGCCTCGTTCATCTTTTCCACTAGTGAGCGATCTCGTCATTGAATGTGCAAGTAAGTCTTGGTCATCTCTATTCGCATTTTCCCGCTGTTTCTGCTTTACTCGTTCGTCAGCTGTACGAAACTCGTTTCCTGCATTAGTCGACATCTGTTTCCAGACGCCGCTTGCCGGAGTGACTTTCTTTGACCGAGAAAAGGCATTCATCCCATCTTCCGCGGAAAAGTAGCCATTATTTTCACCACCACCATCATTGCGACTTGCCGTTAGAGAGAGAAGATCTTGGGTAAAACGTTTGTTTCCGTCGAAGGCTGGCAAACGGCCGTCATGATCAGTGAAGTTCTCCATGTTATGAATGGAATTTCCTCGATTAGGATGAAGCTTTTTTGTATCGCAGCTTCTTCCACTTTCTCGATCAACGCTAGGAGGATTTCCTTGAGTTCTAAACACTCCAAATACGATCCTACGGCCACTCTCATTGCTTCTTTTGTTTTGGGCTCGTGTCCCCTCCGAGTCATTGTCCTCACTCCCAGCACTTTTCGTTTCATCTCGACGAGTCAGAGCTTCTTCCAAATCTCGTGGATACCGTACTTCACGCCCCCTCGACCTAGAATACGTTTGCTGCGAAACTTCATTGCGAAACACTCTGACAGCAGGTCCACCAGAAATTCCTGAAACCACACAAGCCATAACTCCTTCGTCGCCTTCTTTTCCTCCAGATTCTCTTCTCTCTTGAGATGGGTCGCTGCTGTGCTTTTTTTTACGATCCATCTTGTTGACCCTGGTGGGAAAGTTTCTCTTCATTCTTTGGCTCCCCCGTTTTCCAACGAGTGCGAAGCGGACAAAACTACTGTCAGCACTGCTTGTGGATGAATAGCCATCTTCAACAACTTCCGAGCTGTCACACAATTCTGAATCTTCCGAAAACAAATCATCCAAGCTGTCATGTATTCTGCGTGACGTGGTTTGTAGACCGTCCGAATTGACCTTTTGACCACGAAACCAGGGGTCTGAGTTAATATTATCCTTCTCCTGATTACAGCTCGATAGGGCAGAAGTTTCGATGCCTTCTAGATGTTCCCGAAAACGTTCTACATCCTTTTGGTGTCTGTAACTTCCCTTTGAGCCGGCTTCACTTGAAAAGGATCGAAAGGTCGGGGGATTTGAATCACTGAGTCTTTTCGTGCCTGATCTTTTATGCAAATAGGGATTAATCTCATTTTCTTCGTATAAACTTTCTTGACATCTATCACTCAAAAACACCGAATCTTCTGGAGAAAAATGGCTTGGAATTCTATCTCGGTTGTAGCGTTGTTCGGAGTTACTGGAAAGACTTGGACTTTCCCGCCATGATTTGGCAATTTCCTTGTCATCACTCGTAAATGACGTTTCGCTACCGCTGCTAAGAACATTAACGTACTCCAGATAAAATTCAGAAACCTCTCGCTGACCCTGAATTCTAGAAGAACCATCATCGACATATGCGTCAACAGCAATAAATTCTGGAGATTTCTCTGAAAACGAACCAGACTTCAAGGATTCCGTCGTTCCCTCACTCAAGTCGTTCATACTCGATGTGGGCGACTCATGGTAGACAACGTTGACGAAACGACGAAACTGGGGATCCAGTCGACTTACGTAAGTTGGAGCAGTTGGCGAATAAGACATCTGAGCTATTCGTGTACCAATCCAACAAAAACAATGACGACAAGGCTTTTAACTAAACTGTGAACTTGTAACTTCTGTGGCGAATGTAAGACTACAAAAGGTTGTGTAATCCAAGAGCTTTGGTTAAAACTTTACATGGCATTCATCAATCAATCAACTTTGATGATGTTGTGATGAGATTGCACGAACAGCTCTCACTGTGCAAACAGCTTGCAACCATAAATTGGCAGACGTAATTGCTATACCACCTATACACACATGTACTTAAAATTCTTGCATAAATAAATATTCTATGGTTGACAGCGGTATGAAATTATCGAGATTTTTCCTTAGAGTACAACAAAGAGTGATGCAAGCAGCTCCAAAGAAATCATTGGACATCAACAACGACATTTCATTAATTTTCCCGAGTTATAGAGGGGCTGAGTAATATTTCTATATTGAGATAATAGCGCTAACTTTGCTCAATTTGCCCAACTAGAAAACATCTGCAGGGACCTAAGACCGCCGACGCGACAAAAACCATTAACGTCGTTTAATGACAAGACGGCACAAAAAAGAAAATTTTAGTTAAACAATGCAGCAAATACATATCGACTTCGATACTTCAGTTTATAAACTAATTTCCCTTTGGCTTAAAAGTAAACAAACAAAACTACCCTTATCTCATTGATGTTTTGATCATTTAGATCTGTTATCACTGTGTAGAAGAAAATTTTCAAACGCAATCATTTTTGGTGTTTCGTTATATTTAATCACAGTCATTTAGCGGAGACGCAGTCAAAATGCGAAAGGGTCATCTTACTATTATTAACTACAATGTTTTCATTCATCTGACCTCTGCAGGTTGCCTTAGTAATTTTAGTTCATAGCTCCCTCGATAGTTTTTTTTCCTCCCTAAAGAATCAAATTAACGGGCTTAAGACGTACTTAAGTGCACGTCTTTCAAAGTAAATCCGAGAAATTGTCGGCGGTCAAAAGAACAGGAAAAAGAGACATAACAGTTTCCGTATTACCAATCAAAACAATATACTACAGTCCCCGAACATAACGTATACTTAACTAAGAAAAAGCGCAGCATTTTAAGCGGCGGCACCTTATTTAAGCACCGACTTCGAGGTAAACCTCTGGTTTTGTGGTATAAAAATAGAACTCGACTCTTAAGATCAATATTGCTATGTGCTAGAATTTACCCTGAAAAAAATAAATCTGAGCCCCCCCATTCAAAATGCCACTTCTACTCCGAGTGCCACAGCTGACATAGCTTTGTGGAGTAACACAAGCTGTGTTTATCCGGACTTTTTCAATTTTTAGGCAAGAAGCTAGGTCAGGAATGTTCTAATCTACCGAAATTTGCATTTTTAATATCTATGTCGTGTTTACCAAGCGTAGAATGATCTAACACGCCAGGGCAAATACGGACGTCAAATCAAGAACCATATACCACGAGGCACAAAATAATGGAATATTAATACGTGTCTTTTAGATTTTACATCTAATAGCGCGGTTTTTTCGCGAGCGTCAAAGGCTGTCACAATGGCAGGGCTCTATATTGCTCTATTTTCTACTGTCTGAGACAATTTTATGGAACAGCCGGTTTGTTTATTTTCCCAGTTCTACCATGTACCTTTTCTTAAATTTTATATATTTCCTTTAACCAACCTATACCCAAATGGTATTTAAATTTTAACAGAGAACCGACAAACGCGCTCGAGAGGGGGATAATTTACATCGTAACTCCTTTTCCCTTCCCTTAATGAAAGGAAAATAAAAAGAATCAAGTAAAACTTGAAGCTTGATAAGTGTAGGTGTCGAGTGAAGCCTAGAACAAGGACGTTAAAAACGACAGCCTTCGATTTCTAAATTTCGTCCACCACTTTTCCCTTGAGTATTAAAAGCTAAAATGCAACTCAAAAACATGGCTTGACTCCGACAAAAAGAACGATTACCCTTTTGAAGAGACTTTGGCCACATGAGGCATGGAAGTTGTGTAACTTGAAAATCTCGGATTTACCCATGAGTGCTTCGATGGATCACATTTGTTTTTCTGGGCGTAAGAGAACTCTCCCGGTAAGGATTGGTTTTATGTGTGCTGGAAAGCACCACAAAGAAATAGCAGGTGAATAATAGATCGACTGAGGTGATCCAAGTTTGGACCGGCAAAAAAACAGCAAGGTTTTAGAAAAATAGGCCCTATTTTTTTCAAAGAACCTAGCTTTTGTCCACCTACACGGTTATTTTTGGATCGTCGCCGCTGACCGAGAGACTAGGAGAGAGTAGCAAACTCTTACCTTGCCCGTTCTTTCTTTTCCAAAGCAGTTTGAGCTTGAAGTTGGTTGACGTAGCTCTTTGTATCTTGTAACGAGCTGACAGAATTACTCAACATCTCCTCCAGGTGCATTGTTTTCTAATTGGAATACGAGATTTACATCAATCGTGGCCAATAAGACGAATGAAACGTCTACAAATGCTGCCTCTAAAGTGGGAACTGAAAGGATCGCATCTTGATAGTAGTTTTGAGCAGGTCTACCGGTTAAAGTAAGAGGTAGGGACCACAAGTAGCTCAAGATCTTTAGAAGAAGTGCACTTGTACTACGTTGCTATTTCGTACTGGTAAAAACGTAAAGATTTGCATGGTGAAAACGATTGCATTTTGAAACAAAGAGTCCAATATTTAAGTACTTAAAAAAAAATTAGTGACGATGCTTCAGTTGACCGTTCTTTTGCCTCCGGTGTGATTTTTAAGACGATTTTTACCGAGAAATTTGGTCAGTGTTCAGTTTCCGCGCATTTCCACATATAAACTTTTAAATCTGTAGTATGAGCAGGAGAATCTTAATCAAGGTAGTACATACATTTTCTTATATAGAGCTTGGGCTACTTGTGACAGAAAAAAAGAGAGAATCGGCACTGTATGGAATTCCTCATATATGGCCAAAGAGAGTCCATGTGAAGTTACTTTTTGTTTTAACGCATCCAATCAACCGCAAATCATCCCTCAGCAGAAAGCATAAGCCTGGCACATCTAACATGAAAGACTACGTAAAGACACCCAAAATCTCATGACGAGTGACTTAGCTGGCTTTGTTGTACTCACCTGAAAAAGCTTCTCATTTTCGCTCTTGATGTCTTGCTCCATTTCATGCTTCTTCTGAATTTCGTCTTCAAGCTGAAAAGAAGAGATTGAGTTTGAGAAAGAGTTTTGAGCAGCCCTGGAGGCAGTAACTGTATTTTGTCCAGCAAGACTGCTTACTGAGTCATCACAAAAAAAGCTTTCTCGCTAAAATGTTTTCCCTACGGAGAGGTTTTGAAGAATAACGAAGCAGCAGGAGATGGGGTCTTAATATGTTACGGTCTCAGAAACCCGTCACTGCCAGAGTTTTTCCGGACTTTTGCAATGTGAAGCTCCACGAATTTCTTCCTTATCAAGAGGCTATATCAGCACAGTTAAGCACTCAGGATTTTTTCAAGTTTCCTCTAACACTACACTCCAAGGCAGAAGGAGAAAGGACAACGTCTTGCCTAAACACGCACCACAACAAGGTTACCATGGCTCGAGCCCGGGCCTCTTTCAATGCGTGCACAGGAGATCTACCTCTGCGAAAGTAAGGTCATCCTTTAAATTTACACCACTACCAGAATTTTGACCTCGATGGCGCTTTACCCTTTCTCAATAAATATTCTGCAGCTTTTTCCACTCAAATAACACGCATCGTTTCTGTCTTCCCCCTCCCCCCCAACAAAAAATGTCATCCCACGTTCAACACTGTCCTGCTTTGGCTCCAATAGGAAGTCTTTAGGATGTCCAACAGGTGCAGGAGGAAACACACAGAAACTCTATGATGGAAAACGAAAATAGATAGATAAATAAATGAACTCACCGCTTTTTGTTTCTGTAACAGAAGCTGCATTTCCAACTCTTTGTTCTCCAACTCGTGGACAAGCTCATCTTTCAAAGCTTTTTCCCGCTTTATTTGCTGCAAAAACACGAAATTAACAAAAAGCCTCAAAATCCAAATCACAATTTATCCCTCTATGACACTTGTTATCTGTATGTGTATTCTCTATACTGTTCTCTATACATTTCCATATTAACTGCAGAGGAGAATGCTTTCGACAAACAAAACTTTCTTTATATATATGTTATTATATATATGTGAATTTTCATATATCTAAAATCTTTATTCACTTGGATGTTTATTTGGACCCAATTCATTGACCAGCTCCCAGTTGGCTTGTTAGCTCAATTGGTAGAGCGCTACACCGGTATCGCAGAGGTCATGGGTTCAAATCCCGTACGGGCCTGAAATTTTTTTCAGGTCCTATTTACAACTACTCGTTTCAGTAGTGTTCTTAGCTGCGAGGATCTCTTAATTTCAAAAATTTCTTTAGTTGGTGATCATTTCCTTTTTCTCGAAACCTTAATGTTTGATTCAGGATTGATGTTGTAAGGAGAAGTTAGATGCTTATCACTTTTAGGGTCAAAGGTTGAACCCTTAAACTCCCAGAAGTGACTAACATAAAACTTCTCCCTACAATATCCATACATTATTCAGCAAACAAGTAATGAGAATATTCAAACTTATCAGGTAGAAGCTGCTAGCTTGATCTAGCACCAAGTTCTCATAACTCATTTACAAGGAAATGTGTAGCAGCTAGAGGGGAGAATTAATAGTCAGATCTTGGTAGTTAGAGGGTTGACTGCTGCATCTTCTCTAATAGATAGAAAAAGTTTGGATGGTGTGAATTACCTCATTACGTATTCTCTCCCTCTCAGTCCTAATTTGTAGTTCCATCTCCTCGTACAACCTTTGAACCTCTTTGTCATGAGAATTGGATTTGCTGTTATACAAAAGAAAAAAAAAACAACAATCAGAACAAAAGTATTTAAATTACATGAAACTGTTACATTATTTAGTGAATTCATCATCACATTGATGTGTTTGGGGAAGAAGGTCTTGTATCATTTTGCTTGGTTAGGATAACAAAAAGTGATCATAATATTAGCTGTGAAATAAGTCTACTTTTCTAATTTGCCTTCTGCACTTTTTTCAAAATGTACTTTTCCCATAACAAACTTTCATCAATGCCCACAATTCTTCAATGTAACCAAGTAGTAAATCAGTTATTCTAAATTAGATTAGATTTAACTAAATCATCATGTTTACATAACTAATTATCAAATTAATGATTTAAATAAGTTTTCTGTGACAGCAGAGTGAAACAATGTAATATGTAACATGCTAGTGCAGCTGAAGAAGAAATTTAAAGTAGCTTGGAGTAGTATTTTTTCCTTTCTTTGGTTTTTATAGACTGAGACCTCATTTCTTCTCGATAACTTAAATGCATGTTATTACATTAATCAAGAATGTTTTTCAGTATAAATGATTAGCTTTTTTCATGCACATTCAGACCAGTGCAAAAATGGAAATTAAGGGAAGGAGAGAAGGGAGATTAAATTATGCTTTGAGCCCTGTTTCCCAGGTTCATAAAACTTAAGAGAACATCAATCCCTACTATGTAATTGTTAAGCAAGCTCAAAATATTTCAACTGAGATGTGACATTGTTGTCCAGAAGCCCTGGAAGCCCATGTTATCAACTGTTCCTGAAGGCCTAACTACTTTAATTAGATAAAACAGTTAAATAC